ACTGAGTCCCAAAGTATTGAACCAGTTCACTAAGCTCTTGTGGGGGGCTCAATGGTTGTCCATGACCATCAAACATGTGAATTCGCTGGTACCGTTGCTTGGGACAGAGCGTGCGGATTCGTCGAAAGAAGTCAAATGACTGGTGCTTCATGGCCAAGTCAGCACCTTCCCGGAGGAAGTTTTCGAGTTTGGTCCGTTTATTGATCCGGCTATACTTTCTGATTTGTTTATGCAAAGTACGATAGCGAGTCAATTTGCACCAACCCTGAAACACGGACTTGAGACAACAATTCGGCAAGGCCAGGACAGCCTTCCGTGCTAGCCACATCTGGGCACTGAGTGATCGAAAGACAGGATCCACCTGGGTCTGTCGTTTGACTGACGGGAAACATTGCTTACACAATTGTACAAGACTTCGTTCCAATGCCAGATTATTATCGATCGGTGATGACTGAACTGCTGTGGTAGCAATGGCCTGTCGTGCCTGAGTCAGGAAGGTGTCCCATTGCGGTGTTTGCTGAGTCCAGGCCTGTCGAAGGCGGAACCGGTTGATGCCTTCATGGTGTTTGGGATTGGGAGTTGGGTACCATTTGGACAAATGGAAGCTCAATGGATAGTGGCGTGGGCCTTGATTGCCAAACAAAAAGTCGAAGTCAGGGTGATGCTTCGGTTGCATTCGGCTCCAGGAAATCTGGTCCTTGCGCATCAACACGAAATCGATTCGAGTATTATGATTACCATGCACGAACGTGGGATGGAATACCCTAGTGTGAATAGCTGCCATGCGGTTATCCTGAACTAGTGCGCGAAACTGGTCCCGATCAATTTGAGCAGCTTTGGCATACTTGGGATCCTTGGTGAAAATATGCTGACCATCAAAATCAAGTGGTGTGTTATAATCACCGCCTAATACCAGAAGATTCCGTGTTGGGGTATGGTTGATGCAATTACGAAGGCAATCCCAAACTCTTTGGCGTTCGTTCAACAATTGCGAAACGTTCCCGCCTGAGTTCCATGCATGTTGATAGATGGCATATATGTCGTGAGGGCGGTACAAGTGCAATCTCACCTGCATGATCCTGCCGGGGATGTGGTGTGCAACCGAGATGGCTTCTCGTGAGATCAGGGCTGCACGAATCATCACGAGAACTGAAGCATACCGATCAGCCCATGTAACACATGCCATTGAGGGGTACTCCATTCACTTGTCATTCCCCATCCCGTTTCCTGGGCGATAATGATGTCATATGGTGATCGATCACACCAGGCAAGCCAGCTGGGGCCAGCTGGGATAGTGCAGCGATCTTGAAGCATTCCACTGTAGCACTTGCAGATGGCCTAATGCGGGAGGGGTCGGATTGGATACCCGAGGGCAGGGGAGCTGTCGACGACGCTGTGCCCATAGCTAGCGTATTCGAAAGGGCACCTGTGCTAGGTAGAAGGCTTTATTGCGATACATGGCTAATCCGTGATCCAAGGATCGAAAACATGTTCGAGTATACGATCGTTCTAATCGGTTGCACCGATTCCGAGACTAGACGAAGGCTAAGCCAGCTGTTGTCCATGCCTCGTGGTGATGTTTCGCCCGAGGTGGTAGAATATCATGGACATGAATCGGGTTCACGCGCTCTCCTGAGGCGGGAGAGACAACCCTCACGCCCGGGATGGTGGGTACAAGCATAAAAGGCTCATTTCGGTCCATCCCGCCTAGACTTAAGACCAGGCTTTGCAAATCTATGAAGTTCAAAAGAATAAGGAGCGAAAAAGTGGGGCTAAGCATGCTACGGATATTCACAAGCAACGCATGGCACGAAAGTGGAAAAAAAAAAACCACGCCCGACGTTCCCTTTCTTAATCTGCAAATGGCGCTTTCAACTACTAATAATTTAATAAAATATTTTATCCAAAAAAATATCATAAATAAAATAAATCAATTATATATAAATATCAATATAAATTATAAATAATTGTATATTATTATCAAAAATACATTATATAATATCAATCAATATAATTTCTTCAATACAAATAATTTTAATATCAATTATATAAATAAAATATATATTTAAACAAACAATTATTACCAATTCATCAAATATACAAAATATATTCATATATTTTAATTAATAATAATCAATAAATAAATACGATATATTTTTACATCTTTAATTTATATTTATATAATTAATATTTATATAATTAAAAAATACGAATTCCAAATCCTAAATTGCATAAATAATTCAAATCCATTTATTCCACGTGCCTTCAAGCTTAGACATTTATGTTTTGGTAAAAATCTTCGAATAATAGATATTACAATCCTCTTGGTCCGCAACCTCTTAAAACCAATTTTCCCGCGAAGAACCTTACAACCCAACTTCATGCCAAATTCCTAACCTTCAGTGTTATTTTGCGCACTTTTGTGCCAAACTTTCCTGCTCCCAGAGAATGTTGAACTAAAAAGCACTCCTCTTCACCTCAGTATTCTTTGAACTAATCCCGAATTCAATTGAACTTAGAAATCATCTTTGTCTAAATCTCTTTCAACATCTTTGCATTACCGCCCTCTTCTTTGCACCAAAAATACATTGAAGCTATCTTCACTGAATCCAAGTTTGGTTGAACCTTGAAGCCCATGTCGCCCCATATTTTTTGCATACAAAAACGGTTGAACACATCTTCACCCCCAAAGCCTTTTGAACCATTTCAAGTCTTGTTGTCGGTAAACGTCTTTAAACGTTTCTGCAATCCAAGCCTCCGCATCTCCAACTTCTTAAAAACAATCTTCACACCAAGCACCTCGAAACCCATATACGCAGCAAGGTCCTTTGAACCATCACGTCCATATTGCCCCTCAATTGATTGAATCTATTGAACCAAAATGGGATCTCGACCCCACAGTTCTAGGAACATCTTTTCAGCCGACATATTGATCCTAGGTTTGTTTCAACCTTCAAGTCTCTCTTGTCGCAAAGCCACAGTTTGTGCGGGGGGGACCGGTGGCCAACCCGAACATAAAGGGCGAGAGTACAAACCCTGCCAGGAAGGTATTGAATACATTCATCATTGGCTCTGTTCTTATTCTGTTGGTAATTCAATACAACAAATAATCTGCCTTATATAAAAATGTTCAGCGCCGCATGACAGTCTCTGACTCAAAACAACATCTCAATTAGCCGATATTCATATATAATATGTATGGTGGTTGTCCAATATTATTGTTTGTTGAAACGGCCATTCTTCGCGAAAACAAAAATAACATTCGCGAAACTTTCGCGAACCCTGTGTTTTTCTTTCGCGGGGGTTCACCATCTCTTGAAACCATTAAACCTTGTAGGGACTCGATTTCTAAATACAAGTGCACGGAGTGTTTTTGGTTCAGCAGGAGGATGCTACAGACAGGAAGCTGGTGTTGGAGCAAAATTTCGTTGGCACATGTTTTCCTACATGTCTATCCATGGTGCAGTGCTACCACTCAAGCCGAGGATGCCTATAGCTTCTTCGTGCGCTGTTCTACCATAATGAAAAAACAAGCATACAAAAAAAAGGAACTGGAATAAACATACTTTCGCGAATCTTTCGCGAAAAAAGATTAACATCCGCGAACTCGAAAAAAGAACTTTCGCGAGACCCACGATCATGTCATCCAAGGCTCTCGACATTAAAAACCCTTACAAGGACCTTTTGGATAACTCCCATATATGAATATTTATCTATCCGTCTCTGTATGTATTAGTTTAATCACCTGCTTTATCATCGAAACAAGCTACTATCCTAATCTCAACATGATTCGTCGCTGCTAACTGGCTTTGGACTATCTTGCCTTTGGCAATTCTCCAAATGTTGGTTGGTTGCCTTTGGCAAATTCGCTGCTAGAGAGTGGGATATGACAACACTAAGCATAAAATCGATTTAGACAAAGGAGACCCCATGGGCCAACTTTGCCATTGTAGCTCCATCACTGATGTTCTAGCAAGCAAAAGTATGAACATCTTAGACTCTTAGATCATCTTAGTACATTAAAACATGGTTTTGAGAACTCAGTTGATCAAAGCCGTTGGTTGAGGTTCAAGTCAGCTTGGCACACGTTCGTTCCTGAGACATTAAGGAACCGCAGGCGTTTCACTTCTCGGTCGTTGGTCGGAACAAATTGAAAATGGCTCGGCTTCGGGGCGGCTCAGAAGCGGATGCTGACCATACCATCTCTAATCACGAATTGTCCGACCTTGCAAGCTCGGCCAAAACGAGTTGATCGCAAACGCGAAATGCATTGAGATGGATCGAGTCTTCCGGCATTCAATGGCCGTCTATTCTCATTGCCTTTTGGGGCGCTGCTAGCTCGCGTGCATGTGGAATTGTCTTAATTTGGCCACAAAGGCATGCTAGGACCAAGGCTGCGTGTGGGAATCTGTGGGGTCACAAATTAGCCTGTGTTGGTTGAGGTGTCCAATACCAACGACAACTGCCTTCCCCCAAAAATGGATAAAAATGGCTGGACCTCACATGGTCAACATGTCCCAGCCGATTATCAGCTTAACAAACAGACTCGTACAGTAGCCCCAATCGTCCCAGCTTGGAGGAATACCTAGAGTCCCTAGAGCCTCAACACACAAGGAACGTGAGAACTACAAATAGGTCACATACAAGACGCAATAGCTTGTAAGCAGGTATTGGATGAGATGATCGAAGAACCTGCGTGAACCAGCTTTACAAGAACCCCAAAAAGGAAATTGCCGGATGTGAGAGGATTGTGACAACCACACAAATCCGCTCAACTCCAAGAACCCTTGATTCCAACCTGATGCGATTCATCTCCTATATAGTAGTGCAATCAATAGCATGGCCTTTGATCAAGTTGACTCCATCCACTAAGAACTTGAATTCGTTTTCACCGGGTTCGGTGCGACTATGCCTCACGGTTCATTCAAATCTTTTGCAACCGAAAGAACCCTGACCTTCAATCAGCACAATGCTGTGGCTCCGAACGAGCTGGGATATCTCAGGATCTGCGAAGCCTTGGCATTTTGGCATCCTCAATAAACTGCTAGATCCTACTGAGAAAAGGCTACTTCTCTCTTCTTATAGATCCTCAAGTTCCAACATAGTCTTACAAATGGTTGACAAACCGAGGACAAACGAAATTGAATGTTTTTCTGTGGCAATGTCTGTTGACTGGGAAAAGTTTCTTCTCGACTACACTGGCGTGCGGAGTTGCCCGTAAAGAACCAGTGGATAGATACGACGAAAGGCACGGCCATGCCTGCGACACTTGATCGGCCGACCAGCTCTGAACTCCCAAATATAAGGGCTGAAGCAAGGACAGTCAAATGATTGATCTAGAAGCTGGAGACATCTGAATCCATACACCATCTTCGATTTCGCTGCCTGAACGTGGCTCAGCGCTCGGCGTAAAGTCGCATCCTCCAGAAGAAAGCTATTTGCACGGACCCGAGCCTCGGCGAAGGTCCATGGCAGTCCATGCAGGATCGAGACTCTACCCAGGCCTATGGAGGCCTGTGGCATTGGCAGAACAATTTGCAAACAAATTGTTTTCCACGCTTTCTTCAAGAGGAAGCGGGATGTATCAAGCAACATCCCAGAATGACGAGGCACTGCTCCGTATGCTTTCTTCCACCCATTTTGCCAACACTGTCGCGGAGATTGTCACGTGGATCGAGGGGGGGTTGTATTGCAAGTTGGAATTCGTGGAGGGGGGCGGAGGTGACCCGTTATCCATAAGGGAAGTCCTTGCACCCGCCAGCGGCCTCCAAGCTTTCCACATCCGAAAGAGCTTCACGGAAGTCCTGCTGACAGCATTAACCGGAAACGGACATGCAATTCCGTTGGTTCTTGTTTAACTTGCACAGAATTATATATAATATATATATATATGTGGAGCAGCTGGCCAAAAAAGAGCAAGCAAAGCTGTCAGCACCAATCGGCGCGTCAACTACTAACTAGTAAGTACTGCTAGGGAGGAATGGATGAGGCTGGACGGCGCCCAAAAACAACCCTTGCAGCGTTCGAGTTCCTGCTGCAGTCCAATGTACAGTGCAAAAGCATCAGGAGTCAAAGAACGCTGCCTAATTGAAAACAGGATTTTCTAGGTGGCTCTACCATGGAGCCTATAGAGAGTGGTGGAGATAAACTCTGGATCACAGGAGGCTTCCGTCAGCTGCTTGGGGGCAATTACCACCCAAGCCCCCCAGAGCATGATGCTCTCTCAAACCCCTTGAACGTGCTGCATGCAAAGCGAGGGCTTGCAAGGCCGGCCATCGTCCTCCTCTAAAGCGTTGTTACTCTCGTCCTGTCATGGTGGCGAGCTGAAAGCTCACGTGCAATGGTGATGCAAAACTTCACGTTGTTAGTCAAATATTGTATTTGCAACAACTGTTTGCCTGCTGCCTCTGCTTCAATTGCGGGAAAGCTGTCCCTCTGATTAAGAGTGACACGACAGTCTCCAACAATGCCAAACTTTTGCTGATGAAGCAGTGCTGAACAAACTGCAAGAATTACATCCTTCGAGGCCATGTTTTAATGCGAAACACCTGGAGCATTTCAATATTTTCATTACGTTCGAGTTAAGTAGCTTCAACAAGCGCTTGTTTGCCTGTTCCTCTGTAGCCAAACTCCCCACGTCCTGAGGGGGGTCTTCACCCTAAGGATCCGGTCCCTGAGGGCCCAACCCCCCTACTGACAAAGGTCCAAGCTTTCTGAGAAGGTCTGTATATAGATTGATTGCCGATCTACATTCCTATGCACCAACAAATGCCCTTGGGATCATGGGGCAAGCTTTTGCCGGCCTGCCTGAAATCTTAAAGGAAGCACATCTGGCTGTTGATTTGCGCACTGTCTCTTGATTTGCAATAGCGCAGCCGCACAGAAACAGAACTTCTTCGCCCCCAGCCTCCCTGACAGACTCTGATGGCTCATCAATGGGCTTCCATTTTTGCAAAACCTGCCTGAATCTAGAGCGGCCAACCAATCTTTGGACGTCCCTGCATGTGGTTCCTTTTCAGTAGATTCTGCAAAGAATGATAGGTAACTAATGAAGATTTTGTGTTCATTTCACTATATGTATATTAAAAAAAGTAGTTAATTTTGACATATATATATATATGGATGTTATAATTATACTATATATTTTATACAGTATTTCATACAATATATTGTATCAGCGTAATTATCAGAGAAACTACGCGCATGATCTTATATCATTTCATGCCTGGCATGTACTTAGGGTTTTGGTTGCGTTTACATTCTCTCCGTGATGTTGGATAGCAATGCTTTGGGATGTGTTCACTATGATACACTGTGCTTGCCCCATCTGTACCCATACCTTCTCTCCACCCACTGGAATCTTCGTTCCTGAGAGCATCAGCTCTTCGAAGCTCCCCACGTCACCTTATCCCCGCATTCAGTTGGTGCCCATGAAACCTCACGAAACCGCAGTCTGGTGGACCAGGGGTGGATTCGCCCATTCGCCCGACCTAACTTCTCTGCCGTGTCTGCAGCCATACCCAAAATCTGCTTCTTGTGCCCTTGATCCAGAGGGGTAAATTCCGGCTATGGACTCCGCCTCTTCAATCTGGGACGGCAGCACAGAATCAGGGTGGTGAGGGCACCCAAAACCAGCGCCAAAATGAAAGGCTTCAGCAGGAAGTCCTGTGAAAGAACCCACTGAAAGAAGCGAGCAATATTCGACATCACTAGCCCCGGCTCATCTAAACAGCAACATGTCCTGCACCAACGTCACCACAAGGCTCTCGAACCAACTTGTTGCACTCTCTTGTGAGACGTTGGCCAAAAAGAGCCAAATGTAGAGCTGACAATAACAGAAGTACCTTGGTACTTCTTGCGGTGCTTGATGCCATACCCCACAGCTCCGGGACGAGAGGGAGCTGAGGATCCGAATGAGTTTGGCGGGATCTGAAGGCTTTTGGATTCACCAAATCCAGCAGTTGGAAGTCTTTGCTTTGATAATCAGTGTCTTCTGCATCCAAATCAATCTGGCCCGGTGCTTTGCCGGATTCCGTTATTTTAACTTCAAATGCCCAAACAAAGGAGATTGTGGTCTTCGAACCAGCAATCTTCACACCTAACACCATGTTACTATGTTATTATTGGCTCCAATTCTCAAAGCTGTCTTTTCGGACTCCATCCGCATGCTAATGGCATAGCCGTCTGCGCATTTCCATATGTACTTACTTCCTCTTGCACAGTCATCTTCCCTGAGATCCCTCAAAATAGGAAATCCAACCAACAGTTTGGCAGTTCGGCCCCTTTGTTGCCGTGGATCACAAAGAAATTAGGCTCAGACTAGAGCCGGTTCTGTGGCTCGAAATATAACACCGTATTTTACTTGTCAGATTCAAGCAAATGTCATATTACCAAGTACTCCCTGAGTGACTGCAGTAGCTTTCTGGTTCCAAGACGTACCCTGCAAAAGCAATGACTGCAAAGCCAACCACGAATCACCCACATCCAAGACACGATATGGCCAAAATCCAGAAGACCATTGTCCTGTCAGGCACGAGCAGCATCACCCAATATCCACCGAGGTTCCAACACCATCTAAAGGGATCACATCTTAGCAATGTGACAATGTAATACCCACATTGAAATGGTGACCCTCCCATCATGAAGCTTCTGAAATCTCACACAGGTTCTTAATCCATCAAGTGAGCTCGCTACCCGCCGCATGTGTGTTCACGGCTTAGGCTTAGAAACCATAAACGTTCTCGCTCGGTAAGTTCGGGAAGCGAAACATGTAGGAGAGAACTGAGCGGCAACAAAAACTGAGCGGCAACAAAAACCTTTGGAGCGGATACCGACGCGAACAGTTGGGCGACCTCGTCGCAAGCGTCATGCAGTCGTGAAGCTCGTGAACAAGCAAGAACCAGCAAAACACGCGTGAGACACAGGCCGAGTGCATTGCAAATGCGGGAGGTGCACCACTTGGGCTTTCTGATGTAGCGTGCGCTCCCCGCTCCCCCAACAAAGCTTTATATATACAAGTTCAAGCTTGAAACCCAAAAAGTACCATATGCCTGGGCCTACGCACACCATTGCTGCGCTCAGTGAAAGGAACAAACTGAGCCAGGCTTTCGATCACCAAAACTTGCCAGGATCCCGACAAGCAACCGAGTTGCAACCCCTGACAGAACGATTATTTTTACATGCAACAAAACCGTTGAATTCCTGGATCCAGCCTGAAGCGCCAACAACAGCGCTGCCGGCGCTTCATCCCAGCAGTCCAGCGGCGTCGCTCGACAACGCTCCGCCTGTGACTTGGTCATCCGCATGGGGCTGGAAAGGGTTTAGTGTGGGTGTCAAGTCAGAGTGAATGAACAGTCCCAATACAACCAGCCCATTTCGGGACTTCTTGGGAAAACAAAAATACCTGGTTGTGCTTTTGGGGTTGATGCGTGCAACAGAATGAACTGCCCGCCTCTGGACTAAAAAGAAGACCAGGATGATGCCGTCCCCCAAGACTGCGGTTCCCTTGGCAAAAAGTTCTGAAGAGGTTGAATGAGCCAGGCGGCTTGTACGTTCAGGGTCAGTGAAGGGTGAAGGTGAACGGACGTTGTGAGTAGGCGTGGTGTAGACTTGCTGGGCACCTATTCAGCATGCGCCACCCAACCGCTGTTGATCGGAATGGAAACTTGGAGTTGAATTTAAATATATATCTTTTTGTTTTGCACGCAGCTTGTCCTGGCTGCAAAACAGCAAAACCTTTCTCCCTAGCTTCAAGGATGAAATTGAACAACCCTGTCTGGTTTAGCAAACGGGTGCTTGGAATGTTCAACATTGTTCAATTCCGTTGCTTGCTCAATCCCCACATCTTCCGCTGAAACACCAAGCCAACCGTGGCGGTTTGCACCAGCTGGTCAAAGGGATCCGTTGGCTCCACACATTCCTTACATTTCCGCTCAGAGAGGATCTTCTCAGGACAGACACTGTGGACCAAACGGACCAAGTACATAGAATCATTTCATATTATTGTCTTGTTTATTGCATATTTTTCCTTCCACTCGTGCTTGCAGCTGTCTCATCAGCACATGCCTGGCGTCCGGGTCTGACTCAGGTGTGTGCTCAGTGGTGGAAAAGAACAGAGCACCCAGCGCGCCCGCGCTGATGATTTTCATGGCCTCAATAGAAAGCAACGAACATAGCACACCTTCTGTTGTCAAAGCAGGCATCTGCATGCCTTTCAGTGACGAACCACACCTACAACAAAACGTGCCCGCCGCCCCTTGTCAAGAGCGATAGCCGTTTAGTCATTCTAAACAACTCCTGTCCACCACACTTAAAAAAACATGTAGGGCATTGCAGGGCTTCATACTGCCTTTGGTCCAAGCAGCGATCAACATCACGCGCACGGAGTGAGAGACCACTACGCTGAAGCGAAGAACCTGATGTTGCGAGCCAGTATTGAAATTGCTCAGCTGTTCCTTTTTTATATCTGGGCTCAGCAGCCTTTAGCTAGGCATGGACCGCAGGGAAAAGAGCGCAAATGCGGCCAAAGCAATTGCTGCGAAGGAATTGTTCTGCTGCTCCTCCAGAAGTCTGCTCAGCTCTACTCTGTGGGTTCTTAGCAATATGGGATGGACACCCTGAATGAATGTAAATTGATACTAAAAACAAACAAATACATTAGAAGGTTGGTGGAGAACCCCGCATCGCCTACATCCACCTACGCTGTCAAAATCGTCTATGACCTACAACCAACTTTGACCTAAAAAGCATCTCAGGTCGTCGCTCGCTCCCCTCCCGTCCTGTCAGCTCAACTCCAACTTAGACCTGTTAGATCTCAATTTCTCTATATAACTTAGAGCACCTAACCCCGAACAGAAAAGCCACCTCTGCTCATTTTGAGTTTTGGAAAGCCACTTCTGTTCATTCTGTTCAACCTTCTCAGCAGGGTCAAGGATTTGGGATAGCGTTTCCATCAAACAAAGCGACCACGTCACAAACATTCAGGAGTCTCAAGACTCTATCATGGCTTGGTGTGCGACTTCAATTCTTTTTCTCAAGTTCTCGCCCCACCAAAAACTGAACGATCCAGCAGTCGGAGAACCCCTCTCCGTTTGCGAGGCTGTTAAGCTGAGAGAACTCCATAAATAGAAGAACGAGCTTCACTTCTTCATCTCGCCTGTGCCTTTAGATTAACAGATTAACAGGAAGCTCGAGTCGAAACTGGCCGTAGGCTATCAAATACAGTTAGCATCTTCAGAACAAGCGGTGCAAGTGTTTGTTTAAGCTGCCAGCGTCATTTGTGACCCCTGCGCTGTGAATCATTTTTTGGCAAATGACGCCTGCGGCTGCCGCTTCGAGCATTTTTCTTCATTCGACCCGGTCTTGGTTAGGAGGGTGTGGGGTGGGATGGAAGGGTAATTTCATCCGAACCGCAAAGTTTTTGGGCTTACAGGATGCGCTCTCTGACCTCCCTCGAAATGTTTTCGTTGTGTTTGGTGGTTCTGCTTCGGTTGATCACGTCCTCATTCTGTGTGGAGACTTTGGTTTCGGTGGACATTGTAATTTCGCGAGTGTTGATGTCTATGTGGACACGGTGTATACCAACTGTTTTACACCAAACCTGCGCGCGGTGTGGTGGCTGCTCTCTTTATCTTTTCGTCCCGTTTTGCATGGCTCGCGTGTTTGTCTTGTTCTGTCGCAAGCTCAACAAGGTCTGTGAAGACCGGCGCACATGTGATCGAGGTCACCACCACACATTGTGAAGTATGTGTGGAGTTTTCAGTTTCGAAGAAACTGTGGGAACAGCTTGCGGAAGATTATGGGCAAACAATGCATCAAATGTTGAAGACGTCTGTTCGCTGAGGTGCCGAAAAGATGCGAGGGACACATTTTTCAGACATGCAAGACGTAATTTACAGTATGATTTACAGTAAAAAAAGTATGCTCACTGGAGTGGTAAAAACAGTACAAAAACAATGCATTAATGTCATGCACAAGAATAATGAACACGTGCATTTTGTGGGGAAATCGTGCCGACACTAACTGGCCTGTGCTTGAAACTCCAGGGTCCCTAACAACGCCAGCACCATTTTATACAACTAGAATTGCGGTGTTGGCCCGCCATTTTTCCTGAGGTCATGACCAAAGCATGGACAAACAAATTATTTAAGAATTAAGCACACATCCATGTAGGCCCCCTCTTTGGGTGTCTGATGGAGGACCAACGTGCTCCATAGACTGAAGAAAGCCGGACAGTTCTGATCCCTCACGGATTAAAGGTGTCGAATGGTTCCTACTATTCACCACTTCGAAGAGTCCTTAAACAAGTGTGATCATGGTCCACTCAGGGGACTACACCAAAACCCAATCACTTCGCCAAGTACCTACTCAGAAGGTATTTGGACCCACGGAGTCCTTCCGACTCAGCCACAAACTCAGGCATGTTCGGCCATTCACTGAGCCTTCCCAGTATAAAAGTAGACAGCGAGAGATCATCACTCCTGCTCCAACCTCTGCAGATTTCATATAGATGACATCAGCCTGGCCAAATTAGGCGGTCCCTCGTGGCTTTCGTCGTGCTGCCTTGACTTCTGGGTTTGCACACGTTGGTGCTATGATTCCATCAGGCCACCAGGCCGAGCCCCTTCCGGTCATGTCCTGTCATGTCCCTACATGCATATTTCAACATTCCTATCGCTTGTGGCTATTTCGAGCATTTGCGCAAATGGCCAATGTGTTGAGACATGAATATGGAATCCATTTTTATAGGCGTCCGTTCTGTTCATTTTCATGAGCCAGACAAGGTTATATATAAATCGATACCAACATGTTTTGACCCAAATCCAGTTTTCAACCCGATGATCCCCACACCTTGGAGATCTGGTGTTGGACGGAGGACTCCTGCCGGACCCTTGGAGCACAACAGTGTCACGCTCATTCTCAATTGTCTTTCGAAACGACAACGGTTTGTGAAGTACACCTATCTCATCCTATCCCCAGCTCGAGCTGAACAAGCTGTCCATCCGAGCTGGTCCTACATCGATGCTCTGATTGGCATCCTCGATTCTTCAAACAACATTTCTGAGCAGCAGGTGCCCTCCTTCGCTTGCGCGGACTTCAATTGGAGAAGCCCCAAACCTCTCAAAACCCAAGCCCTTATGGTCTCCACATATATACAGCATGACTCGATGCTTCTTCAAAAAAAAAAATATGCGTGTCTCAACTCGGCTTCGATGAAAGAGAAGTCTTCCAGATCGCGAGACATTGGAGCTGGGCGGCGACAAAGCTCCGCGGACCAGCGACACTTTGCGGCTGCGACTTCTCTTCACCTGAGCTGCATAAGGAAACCTCTGGCATAGCGGAGAGAGCTTGGAATTTTGTTGGAACAGTTTGTAAAGGTTGTAGCGGTGTACGAAGACGCTTTTTCAAAATTCAAGGCCGTTCACCCAATTTGATCTTGAAGTTCAAATCATGAAGGTAGGCGGAATTCAACTGGATTAGTAACACTTTAGCTGCTTAGCTATGCTTAACTCATGTATGCGCCATCTCAAGACCGTGAGATGGTCAACTGACTGCCTAGCTATTCTTTCGTTTTCCAGACGTCAAATTCTTTTGCATAGCTCGGGACCGGCTCGCTCTCGTCATGCTCAAGGACCTTTATGGTGATTTGGCACGCTCCGCTCCTCTGCATCGAAACCCTGAACAAAAAGCTTGATTACTGGTAGGATGATTTGGGTACAAAAATGACAACAATGCACATCACGCTGGTGGGCTCAAAGCCATGTTGGAGCTACTTCAGCATTGTGTTGGGGTTAAATGGCTTTGAAACCATTTGACAGCGAGGTTCAGCCTGCGCCAAGCAATTTTAGACAGTTTTTGGCGGTTTTAACCAAGGTGGCAATTGCGGACCATTAAGAATACCTGACACTGAAACTTAGACCGACACCCTGCGGAGTGGGTAGCACCAGGCGTAGACCCCAAAAGCACAACAAATTCAACAGAAATGTCTTGTGACATCAAACCTCCACGGTTCCGGGAACAAACTCAACAGTTTCCTTGCATTTTCATAAATTTAGACACACAATGAGGCCCTTTGCTGAACTCATTCAATTCAATGCCTGACCAAACGGTCTTTGGCGTCTGTTCTAGCCACTCCAGTCCTGTGACTCTGCAACATGGAAATCGATTTGTTGATAGAAGCGGCCTCTGCGTTCGCACAAAGCTCCTGGCAATTGTTTACTTGGTCCAAATCAATGTAAAAACAACAATTTCTGCTTGCGGTGGGAGATCAACCGAGAACTCGCCCATGTTTGGAGTAGCAACCAATTTTGTTGTATTGCTTCAGTTTACTGGTGTAGTAACCTTGCCTGAACCAAAGCTGCGAAAAGGGCTGTGCGAAGCCACTTGGAATGCATGTCAGCTTGCGCGCGAACGTGGCCTATAATACCATGTGGGGAGGTGTAGGTACAATCGGGTGCCAAAACAAAATTCACTTTCTGGTCTGTTTCTCTTGCTCAAAGCGGAGCTACCTCCACTCATTAGCGCTTGGTCTAGATATACTAGCAGATGGAGAGAGGCAAAGAGGAAACACCTTTTCTGGACTGACGTTTGTGTCCTTGAATTGTGGCGAGGCAATGCCTCAATAGACAGAACAATCAAGGGCTGGAACAGTTTCAGACAAAAACCCGTTGCTCACACTCTGATTAGTATTTGCACCCACTAAGTTGCCAGTACCTACACTGTAATGTAGGTTGAGAGTTGGTGAGTCACACCGATCCCATTGACTTGACTTAGACCACTTTCGAGGGGGAGCCTGTGCAAGCGGGACTGTGCCATCTGTTTTCAACCTCGAGTTTGAATGAAAAAATGTATACACACACACATATACATATATATATATACATATAAATTTAAAAAATGTCGGTCGCACAGAGTCACACACGATGCAATGCTCTGGTGAAAGTCCTTGACACCTTCGATGGCATTGTCGCCTGTGGCGTGGCCCAGGAACTCCATGCAATTGCCACAGGCCGCCCGCAACGTTTGGCGCCACGTGGGGTGCCTTTGTTCACGTGGAGAAATGTAACATAAAAAAACGTTTTTGAGGGTGGTCTCCAATATTTTAAAAGGTTGTACGTTTTCTGAACCTGTTGACGGCCTGCGGTGTGAACTCTGCTCAACATGCTCGCATGGAAATACTCATGGTGTTACATCTTGATGTAAAAGCGCAACGCTCCTCCTTTGACAATGCTAGTCACAACCAATCCTTCAGGACCAATGCATTAGGGTGAAGTGCTCTTCTCTTGCATTGGGTTGTCAATCTCCAGGTCCCAAATGCGGTGCTTTTGAACTTCTCCTGTTTGGTCATTCAACAAAAACACGATTCCTGGGAATCCTTCTTCTGTGTAGGGCTCTGGAGGCTCAGCATCTCTTCCTCTAGCTCTCCAAGTTGTTGGACTTGTCGAACTTCTCCGGACTTGTCACTTCCAAGACCCCAGCTAGATCCATGGTCTGGTTCATCTTTTTCATTTTCGATTTCTCAATGGCCACCCGAATCTACACTAGACTATGGCGTTCAAGACGTCCGTTGATGTCCAGGAAACTCCTCCCGGCGTTGCACCTTCAGAGCATCTCTCATGACAAGGTATGCGCGCAGCTCTTGACGCACAAAGCCCAAACCTTCAATTGAAGCTTCTGCGCGCTCTCTCCTGAGAGGCCTCCACTCCTTACATCTGGCTTCACCACAGTCTTTGGGCCTGCTCGTCGCAGCGAGAGCTGCAAGCTTTTGCAAAACCGTGGATCTTCTGAGCCACCTGCCATGGAGCTCTGCTTTTCTCAGCCACCAAGGAAGATGCCCAGCTGCCGCAAGCAGCTGCTGCAAACAAAGCCTATGGCTCTAGAGGATCGGGCCCTGTCCTCAAAGATTGGGCCAAGGGCTAAAGGTCCTGGCCCAGAGCTCCGGGGAGCTTAGCTTCACTAGACTCCGCTGCCATCTAAAAGGCTTGGGCCTTCTCTGGGCCTGTTGACGGCCTGCAGTGTGAATTCTTGAAAACACGCGAGTGAACGCGCGACCGCACAGATTGTTCCTGCGAGGGGGCGGTCTGAGCCTGTAGGGTTTCGGTATGTAACCGTCATGGTCACAGCTTCACACCCTGCCTTTTCATGGCAAGGTTTCACTGCCAAAACATGCTCACCCTCTGGGTGCACCTGCTCGATTTCTGGCTCCGGTTCATCCATGAGCACATGGTCGTCTCGACCTCGATCCTGCAGCTCTAGTGCTGCCATTGCATCTTGCTCTTCAGAGCTACTGCTTTCATTTCTTCGTCTCACTCGTTGTCTTCTTGGTGGCATCCTGAGTTCTCTGAGCATCCTTGGTGGTCCCCAATTTGCAGCCATCCAGCCGTCCGGCCATTCACTTTCTTCTACTGGGCGGTTCACATCTTCATGCCCTTTCTTCACATGGTAGGTGTACTGCCTTAAGCTTCTGATGTCATCAGTCACCTCTTTCCTTGTTCCCGCTCCAGTGATCATCAGCATCCTCTGGAGTTCTCTAAACATCGAATATCCCGTTGGGATGTCTTCATATGATGGATCTACCTCCATCATCTGGCGAAATTGCCTCACCTTCATGATGATGTACACTTCGATGCCCACATCATTCTCAATCTGTTCAAGCCTGTATGCCTGGTAGGCCTCATCCTCCAGGTGTTCATACTCAGCCTCTGGTTCGATGTGGTTCCAGACTTCCGTAGTCCGACGTCAGGCTGTTCTCTGACTCTTCATCCTCATCTCTCTGCCTTCTTTCCTCCTCTGTCTCTACTCTCACCATTCTCACACGCACTTGTGTCTCGTGCACGTAGCCTTCATCGTCGATGTAAGAGCTTACTCTCACTTCGCCATCTTATTCTTGTGTTTCTTCTTCCATTTCTTCACCCCACACACGGTACTCAGATGGGCCAACAACATCTCTGAAACTTAATCCAGAGTCTCCTTCAGGTTCTTCGTCTGTCTCGTCATTTTCATGTCTGCTTCTGTGCCCTGATGGTCAGTTTGACCAATTTTGCCACTCTGTGCTTCCTTGGTTCTCCGGCCATCTCATTGGAGCGTTCCACATGCTCAGGTCAATCCTCTCTTGCTCTTCATCTGAGGCGCCTCCGACTGCACTCCTCAGTGCTTGCCATGAAGTCACATGTCTCCTCAACTCTCTTGCTGTGTTCTTCAAGGCCTTCAGCAAGATCAGGATTGCAATGCTCAAGATCACAATGGCGATTGTCAATCCCATCACCACTTGCCCAAGCATCTCACCTCCTGTTTCCTTTCTCCCAAGCAATCCTTCTGGCTGCTTCTGCGGCTCATCCTCCCGAAAGCACTGCTGGTCTTCTGCCGTCGCCAGGCCCAAGGCTGAATCTGCTAGCAATGCCGTCATTGTGAGCCTCAACAACCTCTTTGCCAGCTGGTTCGCCTGGGCGCTCTTCTCTGGTGGCAACCTTCTCTTCTGCTCAGCCTTTGCTCTCTCTGCTTCGAACTCTGTCCTACCAAGTTGCTGTGAGGAGTCTGTAAAGCCCATGATGTACATCAACAGGTTGATGCGCTTGCCTCCAAGCGTCTTGGCGCCGATGTCAGATGGATTTGTAGCCGTATCCAATTTCCGCAAATCTAAATCTTTGCTTTGTCTCTGTTGGAGCCACAGTAGTCGTCCACTTAGGCGCTTCAATTTTCCGACACCTTCTTTCTGAGCAATTGCTATGCTCGAGCTGTTGTCGCCATAGATGACCAACTTCACCTGCTCACCTGTGAGGTGTTCGACTGCCAGCAACAAACCTTCTGAAGCTCCTGAAGCCAAAGCAACATACTCTGCCTCCGTGCTTGACAAAGTAATGTTCTTCTGGGTCGCTCTTTGTCGACTCCTCATCACCAAATGCATGTCCATGGTTGTGGCCAAATAGCCAACCAATTTCTCTAGAACCTTCCATGCACCTTCTGTTGGACTTGCGCATGAAACTGGATGTCTGGCCTGTCACCGGCCATGTACAACAATGTTCCAACCGCTGACCTGTACATTGGCTTTCTCCATCGTCCTCCTCCATGGTACTTCCGTCCTCAATTCCGGCTCCTCAATTTCTTCACTTCTTCACAGGACTCATCATCTTCACGAGATTGTGGATGTACTTCTCATTCACCATCATCTTGGTTTCTGAGGCATCCACCATCAGAGTCCTCTTCAAGAAGCTCAGCACCTGGTCGTCTTCAACAGACACCTTGTAACGCTTCATGAGGTGGTCAGTGACTCTTGCCACCTCCTTCTCTTCTCCTCCAAGGATCATGTCATCGACATGGACCAACAAGATCGCATCTAGGCCTCTCCACAAAGTAGGTGCCTCAGCACATGGCGCGAGCCCTGCCTCAACCAGACTCTTCCTTAGCTCTTGGAACCATCGTGCTGCACCTTCTCGTTGTCCTGGGAGAATCCGGCCTAGGATCCATTCCTGCTCAAGTCCAAGTCGCTCAGCCAATGCCTTGTCCAGGCTAACTTACAGACGTCTTTGCGCCAGCGGGAGGACATTCACTCCTGAGGTTGGCCCCAGCCATTTGTCAGGTCAAAGGCTGGAAGATGATCACCATGGACGTCAAGGATGCCTACCTCATGTGTGCACAGCCACGAAAGGTGACCTGTTGGGGTCACGCCAGGCAAAATCACGTGCAACCAATCTTGCCCTTCTCTTCCACCTGTTCTCTCGCCACTGCCAATCCATCACCAACTTTGTTGTTAGCAACGGGATGTCCTCAAAATCATCGTTCTTTCCGGGTGGCAGCAAAACTGTCATGCCAATCAGCCTCTGAATCTCTTCCTTTGTGGCTTCATCTTCAATCTCTGCAAGTTCAGCTTCCGGCAACTCTGGGGGTTGATCTGGAAGCTCCAAACTTTCATCTCCATCATACAGCAGTTCTCCAGCAACCACCATGCGAATTGTCGAAGCTGACGCTGGTTCAGGTTCGTCCTTCTCTGAACTCGCTTTGGTCTTCAACATCTTCCTAGGTGCAGACTTTGCCATTTTCTTTGGCGTCTCATCTTCCACATCTCCTTCTCCTCCCGACCTCTTTGGACTATCCATGGGGCTCCCTCTTGGACTGGCTGGCGCCTTGTCGACTTCGCTCTCAACCGTAGGCTCCTCCAAACTATCAAGCAGGTTGCAGCAATGTGTCATCTGTGATCTCCAGACCTCCTTCATCCTTTTCTTCATCTGGTTGTGTTGGAGTGTAATCACTCATGTCTGGACCATCTCCTTTGCTGCTTTCCTCATCTGCCCCTGCCTGCCTTTTCTCTCCTCGTACTTCTTCACCCCTCAGCCTCGCCTCATCTTCTTTCTTCTTTGCTTTCTCCTCCTTAGCCAACTTCTTCTCCTCTGCTCGAATTCCTGGGGCGAGATCTGGAGGCAATGGAACCGTAGGAAACTTGCCTACCAGCGCAGAAGCTTTGGCACCAATCTGCCCAAACCCAATGTTCCATGGCCAGAACTTCACGTACGTCACGGTCTCAGGGTCAAAAGGAGTTGGTAGCCGTCTCATAATTCTTGTCCACTTCAAACCTGAAGCTGTTGCTGCCGTGTGGAAATCTGTTCTGTCTGTCTTTCCAAGCCATAAGCCCGGTTCAAACTTGTCACTTCCGTTGGCTCTCTTCACCCTTGCCAACACACGTTCGCCAAAGACTGCAACCTTGTCACAGTACTTTCTTCCTGTCCTTGTCTCATAGGCTGTTGGTCCACCTCCTTGTCGCCTATAGTGTGTCAACAACCATCCTGCATGGCGCATAGCCCAAAGGAACACTGGCGAAGATGGCTTGATATGCATCTGACAGCCTTCCTTGACACCGTGAACCAATGTCCTCGCCATGCCTCTTACCGTCTGAATCTCTCTTTCCACACGATCTCAATGTTTGTGTGGAAACCCAATCTCAACCTCGCTTGTTGAAGTACCTCCAACAGCATTCTCATCGAAGGTTCTCCATCTCCTTTGAGGATTACTCGTGAATACCCCAAGCTCCCAATGAACCTCATCACCTGTTCAGCCATGAACTTCAGGTGGGCCCTGCCTTTCCCTGATTTTGGCACACACACAAAACTGCGTGTGACCAGTCATCTGTCACCACCAGGCATGTTCCTCCTTTAAAATCACCTTGGTAGATGCGTAAATCCTCCTTCACTTCGACATCCACCTCATCATCGAGATCACTGGCATTTCTGCCTTTCCTTCTTGTCTCGAAGCATGCTTGGCGTTCATGATAGTCATCGCGACCTCTTCCAGCGATGCAATGCTAGCACCAAGGCTGATATGGAAAGTGAGTCAATTCATGAACTTGTCGTTCCGCTTTCGATGGCATTCTCGGCGCTGACTGTCCTTTGGCTTCTTCTCCTTCGCCAGCCTTCATCCTCTGAAATTCTTTCCTTGACAGTTCGATGCTCAGGTTCTCAGCAAAATGCTGATAGTGGTGCGCGAGCATCTTCCATGCCTCCTTCTTGTTCTTTTCTCTGCCAAGGCCGCATTTCTTCAATGCTCTTCTCAACTCCCTCAAAGACGAAATCTCTCTGTATATGCTTCACCTTCGACCTCCACTTCACTGATCTCAGGATCAAGAGGGGCTTTCTGGCGTCCGAACGGGTCACCGTCATCAGCCAAACCAACCCTCAACAACTGCACTTCCCTCCTTCCTCTTCTTCTCCTCAAGGTCAAACTTCTTGTAGATGTCGGGCCTCAAGAACGGTGAATCATCTCCTGGGCTTATCACTCCCAATGCCATGAAATCATCCACCGTCTGGTGGAAGAAGCTAACTGTCTTCACTTCTTCACCTTCACACTCCTCAATCTCATCTTCGTCCTGCTTCTGCTCGGCCATTTCGACCAATTCCCAGACTTCCAAATGACAGTTGACCTGTAAGGAAAATCAACTCTGTTGAACTGTGGGAAGGAGTCTTTGTAGAACTTCGTGCTCAGTGTGACCAGAAAGGGAACTCTTCTGTCACTTGTGAGGTGCCAACCAGCTACGCCCAACAGTGACTTCAACAAAAATTGAAACTCCATGGTCACTGCTCTCACCTTGCTCTCCTCCACAGGCTGGTCCATGATTGTCCCAACCTTTCGAATTTTGGCGTCCACCGCCAGTGAATTGTGCCTGAACTGCAAACTTTTGCTGAACAGCCCGTGCGTCAATCGCACATCTCCACTTTCTCCTTCTATCTTCCAACCTCTTCTCAGCAGCTTGCCCAATGCAAGTAGAGGTTCCTTCACATTGGACAGGGCAAAGCTCTCCCTTAGTTCGACCAAATGGCCTTCTTCATTCTCAAGCTCGATAATGGCTTGGCGCATGCCGCCATTCGTCATCTTCCCTCCTTGAGCATCCCTCAACGAGGTCACCCGATCAAGCGGGAATCCCACTTCTCGGTAGCTCATGGGGAGCACCGAGATGTCAGCTCGTGAGTCGAGGATCACCACCGTTCCATCTTCTCCAGCGACCGTGCGAACAAAGTCAACTTTGTTGCATCCCTTCCTTTGAGGCCTCGAACCTCCACCATCGACCAAGTCCTCAAAGCCCACAAAACGAGCTTCCCCTTGGCCTTCACATGGATGTTTGAACATGATCCAATCTTCATCGTTGTCGGTAGGTGAGGTCATAGGTTTCGGTCCCCACCATCCGGACACGCCCAACTGCATTGTCCCCTTCATCCTCATCCAGGATCACCGTCTCGACCCTTCTGACATTCTTCGATCTTGTTGATGGTGTCGTACCTGATGCCTGGGCAACACTTGCACTGTCTCCCACTGAAGTCGTGACAGTGGAAGATGTTTCACTGACCTGTCTCAGTGCCCTCATTGGACATTCCTTCAGTGGCCTTTGCCTCCACAGAGCTTGCAGGTGTCTGAAGCTACACCTTTGCCCTTTCCTTTGGCATCCTTGCCTTTGCCATCCTTTCCTTTGTACTGCTTGCCCTTGCCCTTGTAGTCTGTGTTGGCATAGTTGCCAAAACCTTTCCTCTTCTGCTTGCCCTTGGACTTGCCGCCTTTGTCCTTTCCTTTTCCTTTCCCTTTCTCCTTACCTTTCACTCTGTCAACATCCATGGGGATCACCTCATCGTGCTTGTCGTAGTCCTTGGTGATGGCCAGTTCTTTGTAAATTGCCTGGCTCCCCCATGAAGTGGTGGTTCGCTCATAGGCCAACATCTTCTCTCTGGCCTCCTTGTGTAGGACGTGTCCTCCGTCATCTGCAACTGCAAATGTTGTCTGACTGCAGCTGGCATCACCCTCAGCAGCACGCTCAACTTGGTGTTGTCACCAATGTCCTCTTTGGCCACCTTGCCATACTCCTCAGCCAACCTTTGTAGACCAAGCAGCTGCTCCAGCATGGTCATCCTTTGTCTTTCGTGAAGTTGGGGTGGTTGAGGAAAGCTTGCAACAAAGCGATCGACCCCGATCTCGTCTTTAGAGCCAGTTGGAGACTCAGCTGCCTCCAAACCTCATAGCCATTGCGGCCCTCAACTGCCCTCAGCAACTTGAGAGGCCTATTCCGTAGCAGCCCACACCAAAATGGCATAGGCAAAGAGCTTTTCTGACCTTCCTTTTTCTTCGGCTGTCATGCTGGCGAGCTTCACCTCATTCTCAGAGCCTTCAATCGTGTCGAGCTCCTTGTTGTAGGCTTCTTCAGCAAACGTGATCCAGCTCTTAAAGGCTAATCGCCAATCTTGCCATTGGGGCAGCTCTTCTTCCATGTTCTTTGGCTCAAAGACCTCTGGAGATCTCACCACTTTGCTTGCTGCGGCGAATCCCTCGCCATTCTTCTTTCCTTCTTTTTCTTTCATCTCCTTCAGAGTCTTGACTGCTTCTTGGGCCATCACGGCCGATTGCTGCGTGGTGGCCACCAAAGCTTTTGCCACCTGTTCATCCATTTCTTCTTTTCTTTTCTCCTTCTTTTCACCTTCTCTCTTCTTCTCTTCCCTGGATCTTCACTCTCTTCCCGGGGTATCTTTATTGAGCCCCTCGGGTCGGCTCCGCTACACTCATGGTGTTGCAGCTTGATGCAAAAGTGCAACAAATATCGACGTCCGTGATGCTGCGACGGTGAGAGGATTGTAAAACTGAAAGTCCGAGGGGTCCATCTGAGTGAGTGGGTGCTCACATGTCCTGTCTCTCTATAAATACATAGCATGTATTCCTACCACGGTTGCACGCTGCCCATAGACTATGATGGTGGAGTTGCAAAGTTGCTGAGCTGCTAAATTGCCCACGGGGGGTCCAAGTCCAGACTCCAAACCCAAGTGCGTGTGAGAGGGTGCGCAACTAGAGGCAGTTTGGGGGTGCTAAGTTGCTGTATGCACATACTTTTAATACAACTATAAAAACGAGCATGGCTCTTTGACACATCACGGGTCTGGCTTTAAAATGCGCTAATGACTTATTTCGTTGGGTCCGTGGGGGAAGCACCAGGACCAAGCTGTAAGTCCTCACTGCACTGACCTCCGAAACAGTGACCTCAAGATGCAAACTTGTGTACTTTGTCCATTTGACACCACAAGTATTGAATTCGTCACTTGATCAAGTCCAGGTTTCTCCAGGATGTCCTGCTGCGTTTCCTGTTGTGCGTCGTCAGCGGTTGCATCTTTCTCCTGCAAGTGACAGAGACAAGCTAAAAACAGAAAGGGGGGCCGTGGAAGCACACTTTCGATACTTCTTGAGAAGGCTCTTGCAAGTGCACCGCCGAAAGGCCTGAACCAAAAATAGGACTAAAACAACAAAAGGTTTCCCCACAAGAGACTTCAAACGTGTGTCTAGAGGTTTAAGGTCCAGAGGTGTAGAAGCAGAAGGCCTAGAGATCTAGACGCATTGGGTTCCAGAAGTCCTGAGAGCCATTTAGGTCTTGGGAGAAAAGCAGACCTAGAGTTCTAGAGAGATCTGGATGTGGATGTCTAGCTAGGTGTAGAAGTCTTGAGATCCAAGAAATGTAGGTCTAAAGGTTTAGAGTTTGAGGTCTAGACATCTAAAGATATAGAAGTCGAAATTGATTCCAAAAAGGCCTAAAGACCCAGTATTCCAGAAGTTGGGGTCTTGAAATCCAGAGAGGCCCAGAGGTCTAGTAATGATCTAGAGGTCTTGAAATCTAAGAGCACTATAGCTGGGCAGAGTTTGAGAACTCCGAGGCCTAGCGGTCTAGAAAGATCCGGCCGAGATAGAAATCTTGAGTTTGTAGAGGTCTAAGCAAATCTATGGGTCGAGAACTCAGGCCTATAGAAAGAGCTGAAGGCCGAGATCGAGAACTAGACATCAATCCATCTATCCACCCACCGACATAACCATTTAGGAGATATCCACAAGCTTCTCCTCCTTTCATGTGGATTTACGTGCGCATGCAAGTGGAATGCAAGTGATGCAGCACCATCCAATCTGTTGCATCATCGGACACTGTTTCACACTCTCCGCCACGCCTTTTCCAACTTTTCCACCTTGATATTTGATCTTATTTGGGTCTCCCCCCCTTATCTCACTTCGTTCGCAAAACCAACTCTCGCCTAGCCTATCGGCCGGCTTTCGGAAAAACTTTTGCAAAGCATAGATTTCCTAGACACCCACTTTAACCTTGAAAGTTGTGATCCTTACACATTTATACAGTCAAAGCCAAGCTTAAGCATTGAGCAAATAGAATATAACCATGCAAATTAGAGGAGGGGGTTCTGGATAAGGCGGGATGTTTTTTCTATGCAATCAGAATCTGATCAAAATGAGACTTCCATAAGGGGGAGTGGCATTGATACAGGAGGGTTTTGTTTAGCGGCGTAGTGCTTGTATGCAGGCGCAGGTTCCATAAAGGATGGCGCGCTTTAGAATGGTTGGGTCCTTGTTTGGTGATGTTCAAGAGCCGTTGTTCTTTTGACAGCTACACCAATGGCTGCTTGGGTGTCGGAGGCTTGCGCACACAATCTTTGACGCAGCCCTGCGGGCCACTGGGTTCCCGTGTCCTTTTTAGCACCTCGGCCGCGACCTCCAGCGTTCACACCTCAGGGGCCCGCTGAATATGTACAATACGCAGCAGCAGAAATGGCCCATGAAAAACCAAATCCCAGTTGGGGAAAGGGCTCAAAGAACTGCAGAACTGCATAAGTCTTGCAAGGCTGGGTTGATGGTCTGCCCATAAAGAGCAATTAAAGTGTCGCTGTTTTAGATCGGTGGTGTTCCAACACAAGAGACTGTTGAAGGGCGGGGCCTTGCCAATAAGCCTGACACGTGCAGTGATCGTCCGAGACCATCTTTTGGGTGGACGCAAGCAACTTAATGCATTTGCTTTGAACCAAACAACACCCTGAGGAGGGAGATGTCAACCAACCTCTGCAAAACACATCTATATTGCAATGGGTTCTTTTCGTCTCCTCCCTTCTGAAAGATTGCGCGCATAGAATGCTGTAAATGAGAAAGCGCAGTGTCCTTGTTGTTAGGCCAGAAAAGCTGTTGATAAGATTAAAGTACATTGATTGGAAATGATTTCATGGGCATGTCTGACTGCAACAAGTCTGGCGCAGCTAGGCTATCACAGGAGGAACACGTGTAATAATGGAACCAAACATGATGGCTAAGTTTAGCCTTAGCCCCGGCTTCGAACATATGAAATCCTCAAACTTTCTGTTTTCTTCATTGTTCCCAACAGCAGTAGGACTGTTGGGTTTCAATCTCTAGGTCTGGGAGTGGTGCCGCCTCCGATTGCCCGGAACCGGAACCCTGCAACCCTCGAAGCCTGGAACCTTGGATTCATGGAACCCTCAAAATGTGAACGCCAGAACCCTGAAAAGGTGAATGCTAGAACTCGACATTTGGGTCATGTGGGGGGGGGCAGGGCGGCGCATGAACTCAAATATGGAATTTTGGAACCCTGGAACCTTGGAACCCTGGAACCCGCCCTGGAACACTGGAACTCTGAGAAAGGCTCCTGAAAGCTTCGCAGCCAAAGTTGATATGTGTGGATTTTTGACATGCTTCAGCATGTTTGTCAAATCGTCTTGGGTGTGCTTGTGCAATCATTGAACGGTAGGATGCTGCGATGAAACGTTTTGCTTGCTACATTTGCAGTTGTGTTCTTCAAACAGAGAAAAGCAAAACCTGCAAACACAGAATCCTTTCTGGTTTGTGTAGTCGCTGTATCACTGCTTTATGGGTTGCGGGTGATGGCACGTGAGCCTGCATGACCTTAGGGGCCCTTAGGGTATGTGCGAACTTGGACTGGCCACTGACATTTGGCTTGCCTGTGCTTTCAAAGAACAATTTGCAAAATATTTCGTTTGGCAAGGTGCATGTGGCTTTGACATTGAAGGCCAGATCAGCATTCATGATTTCCTTCCTGCTTGGATTGGATACTTTGTTGGCTTCTAACATTCAGGTTCCCTGTATTTTCAAAAAACGCTTTGCGAAGCATTTTGTTTGGCAAGATGCGATTGGTTTTGAGATTGAAGGCCCGATCAGCATCTCTGATTTGCTTTGTGTCTTGCAATTGCAGGTTGAGTCGCTAGCGACGATGGGACGTTTCGACGACGCCGCAACGTGACGACGCGAGTAAAACTGCAAGGATGGTTTCGCTTTAGCCCGAAACGTATTATACAGAACTATGTTTTGACAATTGCTCCTTCATATATAGGTTAGTCCTTGAGTTCTTTCCCTTTTCCATTTTTTCTATAAGTGCGTTTGGCCTATCAATTTTTCAAGCCTTGGTACTCGTGTTTTACACACAAGCTGTGAACTTTGGATTCTTGCAACTTGACGTTAGCTTGCCATGCTTACTTTGACAATGTTTGGTTTGGAAGACCTAAAATTTGGCAGCGTTTCTTTGAATCTTTGGCGGTTCTGAGAGATTCAAGCATCCTTCGTGCAGAAACCATTGACATGAACTTGTGAGGTATGGAGTGAGGTAGGGAGTGAGGTAGGGGATGAGGTATGGAGTGAGGTATGGATTTGTTTGCCCTTGCCATCAACGCCTTTTGTAGCTTTTTCGTCCTGGGATTGCAATTTGAAATTGAACGCCGTTTCGGCCAGCAATCTTCTGAAACAAAAGGAAGCATTGAGTTGTTTCCAGACAGTGTTTTTGCTTAATGCACCGGCGCCGGCTATGAGGTATGGAGAGAGGTAGGGAGTGAGGTAGGGAATGAGGTAGGGTGTGAGGTATGGAGTGAGGTAGGGAGTGAGGTGGGAGTGATAGGGCGTGATAGGGAGTGGTATGGGGCCCTTGAAGCTGCACTTCCAGCTTTGCGGAAAGTCCATTCATAAATGACTGGGGTGTCAGCAGAACTGCAAGACTGCAGAACTGCAGAATCGCAGGAACTGCTAAAGGCAAGCTTGCTGTGCGCGTGGCTCACCAAAAGCATAGTGCTTGAGCAGCTTGCAGTAGCTTGCACTGGGAAGAAGACCTCCCTGTGCTCTTCCCATGCTTGCTGCAATGTCTCCTGCTGACGCGCTACCTGGTTGTTAAAGTCACCAAGAAGCCCATCTTCATGTGCTTTGACCTGGGCCATGTAGGTTCTCCATGTCATTCCATGTCTTTGCTCCATTGATAGTTGCTTCAGAACCTTCTTCAACTCTGCTTGCTTGGTGGAGGTACCCGCCAAGAAGCTGCTGACTCGCTCAGAGTCCCCCGAAAATGGGCATCACAGCGCTGCGTGCACTGTGCCATCTGGAAGATATAGAGCTCATTCCCTGGGTCTCTCTATTGTGCCAAGGCCTGCTATCCCCAATGATCTGGGCCATCTTGTAGTCCCACTTGCCCTTGACTCTTTTGGCCCACGTGGTCAATGGCTGAAGATAGCACGCCACAAAGAGTTCTCATCCTTCTTCCTCAAAATTACAGGTCTAAAGGGCGCATCAAATAATGAATAGAGTTTTTGGAAATTGTACAAGTGTTTGGCAAGAAGAGTCCTTGCTCAAGAGAGACAAAGGAAACGCTGTGTCTGCGGTGCCTCGGACTGGTGCGCTGCTGCCACAAGGTTCCTGAACTCTTCTCCGGCTGCGTCAAGGCGTCCAGCAACATAATGCAAGTGATCTCCTCACTGCTCAAACGCGCCTTTGGCTGGCACAGGCGGTTCTGCTCATTGATGAGGGCGCGCTGTCCATCCCTAGACCTGGGGGAAGGAAGGTGGCGCATGTGGGGTCTGCAAAACCTGGAATAGAAGCTACCACACAGAAACTAAGACAAAGACCCACGTCCCAATGTTGACTTGCTTAGAATGCGCTGGTAGACAAACCAATGCTGGTAGGGAGATGGCATAGTTCTTGTGGCAGCCATGCGTTTCTCCCCAATAGCAGCGAACATGTGCTGGTCTGGATTGTCTGTGGGAGTTGACATGCAGTGAATGACAAGGCAAGTCAGCAGCCATGTTGCCAGACTCTTCTTGAAGTCTGCACCGTCAGCGCTGCGCAACAAGTCCAACTTCATGCAGAAAATTGTGAACAAGTAGCAAGCCACGATGGTGGAGGAACCTACTTGGTGGTTCGTTTTTACTTGTGGCACTTGCAACTTAGTTAAGACACTTATAAGACTTAAGCAACTTGTAAGTAGTACTTAGGGAACTTAGGTTTTATTAGTTTTTTAATTATAACCGTAAGTTGTATAAATTACTTGTAACTAACTTATAAGTTCTGTAAGTTCCTGGACGACCAAAAGTATAGTCTCAGACAAGTTTAAAAAATAGAAAAACTAAATTTTCGTCTTGAGATGGGCAGGCAGCTGTGAGAAAAACTAAGTGTTCGTTTGCAGATCCACGTGCCTTCGTGTCAGACCGCATGAAGCGCAGCCATAGCAAACACTCCCTCAACACCTCAAGCTGGAAGTCTGCATCTTTCTCAAACCAAGGCATGACAACCATGATGTTGGCCACGCTCATCCGAACATGTTCTGCGCACAGGCTGGTCATGTCTACCAAAACTGCTCTTGTTCTTTGAACTTCAATGGCAACTGATGTTCAATGATTGTTTCTTCAGCTTGATTCAGCTCAACCCTTTGAAAAATATACAGGGGTTACATATAGGTTGGCTGGTGGTCAATTGATGGGCTAGATCTAGGTTGGCTGGCGGCCCATTGGGCCGCCCAGATGTGTTGGCTGGCGGCCCCAGTGGAAAAATACCATATACTCTGGACCTTATGCAAAGGGTCCTGTACCAAAAGTACTAGTCCTTGAAAAGCAATGCATCAAACATAAACCTTGATTCATTTGCCATTGAACCATTCAAAACAGAACTACCATAGCTTCACCTGATATATCTAAATATTCGGGTTGCTGACCAACAACTTTCACACACATAAAATTTGACTAGCCGATTGTTTTCACATATCACGGAATCACAAATGTATAAAAATGTATAAAACTGTATAAAAAATGTATAAAAATGTATAAATCAAAGCGGACCTAAATTTATACATGTATAAATCAAAAAAATATCAATTTATACATGTATAAATCACACCATTTTCAATTTATACATGTATAAACTGATAACGAATTCGATTTATACATGTATAAAAATGTATAAAAATGTATAAATTCAATTTCTGAATTTTAAGCATTTTGCTTGTCATGCGATGAGCTTTTATCAAATAGAATTCATTTCTCAGAGTTGCCAACCCCACCACCTCATGAGTTCATGAGTTTAGACATTTCCTGACTCCCTGATCTTTTTTAAAAAAATCCAGGAGTCAGGATTTAAGTTTTGCTGATTGAGAGCTTTGCTGATTGAGTGCAACAATGCTTTTTGTTTGCTGGCGTTTGCTGGCTCCAAGTGTGTGCTGCTCATGCGACGCGTCCTCAGCTGCCGGTACTGCTGAAGATGGAGCCTGTGCAGCCTAGGAGGATGACGTATGCGGAGCAGCTGGAGGCAATGCGGCCACCTTGCGAGTTTTGCATCCTGGCGGACGGGACCATCCTGCTGTCCAATCGGCCGGAGACCTACACGGCGGAGATGGTGGTTGATGCCTATGAGGCATGGCGAAAGATGAAGGCACATGGCTTAGTGCGTGAGACCCGACCTGCGGCTCAATGAGTCTATTATTGAAACAAGAGCGACATCCATCATCTGCTCAAGATGGCACGCGGTTCAATGTATATTTTTTTGCAAGAGACACAACCTGCGGCTCAATGAGCCGCATGTTTTTTATACAGGAGCAACATCCATCATGAGTCAGCCATGACCATGACAAGACGGCATACGGCTCAGTGAGCTGCGTGATGAACATGCGATCGGAGCATGAACTCGATTTCAAGTTTAAGAATCAAAGTGCGAAAAAAACACGATTTGATCAGTTTTGGTGTAAATTAGAAAAACTTGAAATTTTATATCTCAAAAAAGTTAAGTTCCCTAAGTTAGTTATAACTTATTTTTGACTAGTTTTTGATAATCTAGATATAGAACTTAGAAATTTCTAACTTTTGCTAACTAACTTGCAAGTGCCACATCTTAACATAAAAACTTGTGCTAGTTACAGAACTTGTAACCCCTTCGTAACTAAGTTACCAACCACTTACAAGATACTTACAAGTTCCCTAGCCAAAAATGAACCACCAAGTATGCAAACCCCCATGGAAAAGTTCTTGATATGTTGCCCCTCCCGCTGCGGCTCGGGGCACAGGCTGGTTGGAAAGCTGAACAAGCAATCAAGTGGGCACTTGCTTGTCTCATTGCCCTTCTTGCTGCGCGCAATCTTCTGGATGTTGTCTCCTCAGGCAAAGCAAATGGTTTGTGTCAGTTGAGGCTAATGCTGGATTATGAGTGGCTTCCTCAATGTGAAATGTGTGCTTCCAAGGCTCACTGCATAGGATTGGGCTGGCCCTTTCAAGTGTGACTCATCCAGGAACCCGGGAACCCAAATTTCCAAGGCTGAACCTTGAATCGTACAGGTGCATTGTCATCGGTGACCAAGTCGGCAGGCACTGTGAGGCAACCCGTCCCCCCAATGCCCAAAATTGACCGGCGCGTGTTGTCCCAACAATCTAAGTCGTTGGATAGCCTCATGCGCTTTGTCTCAGTATCATACTCAGCCTTCTTCCAATCATGGACAGACATGAAGGAGCCACCAATTTCCTTCTTGATTGCAGCAAAAATCTTTCTGCATGTTGCATCCTACTTCTCCTGAGTGCCAGAAACTCAAGCAGAGCATGTTCATTGAACTTGTGGAACACATCACACATCCATGTGTTTGATTTTGCATCAACTAAATCCAAAACAACATGATAATGACATGGGTCCTCCAAAGTTGGAGCCATTGTGGCAAGCAAACTGCAGAACCGGAGAACTGCAGAACCACAAAGCCAGAACTGCTGAGCCACAAGCCTTGGCCAAAAACTGTGGAAGCAGGAGCTGTGCTAGCTGACACCAAAAACATGTGATTCCTGATAACAATTTGTTGTGATTGTCAAACGGTTTGTCAAGGACACATGTCAAACTGGCTGCCTACAAAAAGAGCGCGCGCTTTTCCCACTTCCTCACTTCTGCTGATGACTGCAGAACTTCAGAACTTACACACTTCAGGACACACGAGTGCGCATTTGCCAAGCGCTGTCTGGCAAATGTGGAAAATGCACATTCCATAAGTGGCAAGCAAGGTGTGGCTGCAAAAGCCAACAGAACTGCACACTCATATAATCCCTGGTTCTTCAAGGCTTCAGCTGCTAGTGGCATACCATATTTTGCACTGCAAAGATTTGCCAGCTTGATGAAGTTCTTAATCTCGTCTTCTGCCATCTTTCTCTCTCTCTCTCTCTTTTGGCAATGAGTTGCGTGGGCAAACGGGTTGCAATGGCAGAAACCCTTCCAGCAGGGCTGAGGAGCAAACAAACAGTTCAAAGAAGCAAACAGCAGCGCACAATTTCATGCTGATAGCAATGCGCTTCAATACTAAGGTGTGTGCAACACCCGAAGGATCAAGCCATTGCTGAAAATCATGAACAGCTGTAACATTGTTGACCAGCAACACCTCATTCTTAGCCCACACTCTGGGGCTGAGCTTCTCATGGATGTATCTGGTCATCTCATCAGCGGTCTCCCAGCGCTGCTTTCCAATCAGGATTGCCTCTCACATGGCAACATGGCAGAAGCAATGAATCAACCCCAAAAAGGAACACCCTGGTGCTAACACAGCAGTGTGCCTTGATAACTGCAAAGAGCTGGTCCACATCCTGGAACTTGGAGGATGAGCATGGCTTGCAAAAACCTCTTAAAGATCAAGAAAATAACATGGTGAGATCAATTGCAACTCCCAGTCCTCATGTGTGTGCCCCACCATAAGGTGGAACAAGCGAGTGGTGACAAATAATTTTTGCACGCTGAATAGAGGATGAATTGACGGCATGCTGGTTGTGTGCCTGTGCAGTGGTGTTGTCACAAACTACCACCAGATGAGGTGGGACTCTGCGGCTGTCCCGCGGGGCTATTCGCCAAATGGTGTCCAGTGTCCTTGCAAGAATCTCGCAGAAGTGGTCCTCAGCACATCTCATAATGGCTAGTTTGAATTTGCAAGCAGTCTTGCTTCATTTTCAAAAGTTCTATTTTTACTAAATTATCTTAGCTTCAGCCCCATGATTCTCCATCTCAGAGGTGGCAAACAGCAAGGTGGCCCAGCCATGCGCTAGGGCTGCAGACAAGACCAGTTTGGGGCGGTGGACATTGTCCATGTCTTTACTTGGTCTCTCATGACCAAAGCGTGGCCAAGCAGTGCCCCATTTCCCCATCGAATCTATGATGACGGTCAAGACTGACTCATCATGAACACTGGCAAAGCGGAGCCCCCAGTACAAGGTCCTGTCCTGGTATTGCTGCCGTTGATGTTCTCGGAGCTGCTTTGCTGCACGGATCTTAGCCACAAAATACATAAGTGATAGAAAAAACTGGCGCGAAAGCAACGTCAAATATGTGAATCTACCAAATAAGCATGCGCAAACCAAAGCACTTTCACTTCCCAACTGGCTTGGGACCGCAGAACCGCATGGAAGTCAAAGCAGGTCTTGCACTGCCCATGTTGTGATGTCTTACGCATCACCAAGACAAACTTCCAACGCGTCTGATATCTTTTCACAAAGGTATGAAAAGTTGGACAAGGTCCTGCGCCAGGTTGCTTCTCCACACGCACAGCCCACTCTTCACAGAATTGCCAATACAAATCCATCGGCCGCTGATGCTGGATGTGCCTGATGGGATTGGAACACCTTGGCCCACTTCCGCTGCCATGGTCTGCGCAGACAGACTCCAACCAATCATAACTCCAGTGTTCCCAGGCATTGATTTCCTGCAAGTCCTTCCTTGTGATCACAGACTTGCGAGCCCCCACCTTTGCACTGGAAGGCTCATGGCCTGCAGAGCCACTTGGAACTTCTTCAGCTTCAGAACCACGGAACCGCAGAACTGCCCCTGAGTTTGGCATACATTTGGGCTTCTGGCATAGGTTCAGCAGCTGACATATGGAGTGCCCTGAAAAAGTGGTCTTTGGGGCTTTGGTGTCCCAGATATCAGCTTCCTGATGGTTCTCTGGCTTGATGCCATAACATCGCAAAAACGCGCAAAGCATACCTGCAAACCACAGCTATGCCACTGCATTTTGTCCAACTTGTCCCCACTAGTGGCCTCACAATCTTCCATGCTGCAGTGCAAAAGGTGGCCTCTCTCCTGAGCCGTCAAACTTGACCACTGCTTAAGAAAGTGGAGGCAATGGGACCAGTTGATAGCGTTTGCCTGACAGCCAGGCCTTGTACACTTTGTTTGCTTGCTTGCAGCGCCTTGCGCAAACCATCTTGACTCTGGCTGCGTTTGTGCAGTTTGAGTCATATTGATTCGTGTTTTGCTTCCCAGTAGACATGGCAGCAGCTAAGTGCAAAGGCTCATCCAAATGCATGGCTGCAGGCTTTCTATTGTTTTTTGCGCCTGTTCTGCAGCCTATGGATCAGGTTCATCTGGAGGAGGTGTGGCAGTTGTAGCCCCCTGCAACAAAGCGCCATGGGTCCTCCTCTTCTATGGGCCATGGCTGATCTACCAAATGCCATGGGTCTTCTGAGCTGGCCGCCTTCTCAACTTTCGCCCGCTTTTTGTTCCTCACGGGTGTATCACATAGTATGGCACTGAGCATAGCCCTTGAGCCTCAAGGTCATGCAAAGGCAAGCTGCTGCCTTCAAGGCCAACATTGCGTTGACGTTGACAGAAGAGGACTTCCAAATATTGCAGCATTTTTATCGCGCACCAGCTCTAAATGCAGAACTGCAGAACCACAGAACTGCTAAATGGCCAAAATGCTTTTGAGTTGAGAGGCTTCTGGACGAACCTTTTGGATTTTCCTGGGGAGCCCCCCAGGATCGTTTGCAGTAGATGTGTTCTTGCCCCTGACCTTTTCCTCTGGCACTGGTGCCTTCTTTGATGTTTAAATAGAACCATCTGACTATTCAGAATTTGATCAAATCTATTTCATCGGCTTGAGTGTCTATTGGAAAACCAAATAGCTACTAGCCATGCACTTGTTACTAGTCGAGGAGTACAAGCCACAAAATAACCAACAAATATATCCTATGCAAATGTGGAAGTTACAAATGGATGCGTGTACAAGTGGTGGGCCTTCAGATAGCACATGCACTGCTACGCACATGTAGAATTAGACACGCAGAAGTATTAATTAGGTTTTGAGAAAGCAAATCTTTTCAACAAAGGAACCCTTCACAGTGATCCCGGGAAAACCATGCCTGATTATGAACCACAGCGAGGTGTTCGGAAGAGCATTTCTCACCTTTTGTTTCCAAGTGAGCCCAGCCCATGCAAGCCATTCCTGTCTACAACTTCTAGAGCAGCAACAAATGGTGGTTGGTTCCAAACAGAAACTCTGGCCGACGAAAACAAACAACAACCACCTTGCACGCCGCGGCACGCATCAGCAGAATCTCTCGTTGGTGCTGTGGAAGTTTATCTTTGGACCTCCAATCCACCCACACAGCGATGGACATCGCAGTGAGGCCTCGATCGTCTCACGAGCGAAAGCTCATTGCACGTGGCCTGAAAAAAGAACAGCGCACCTTCACACTTTGCACCTAGGTTCAGCCACGATGCTGAGGATCAGGAAAATAATGCTCAGAATTGCAGATGAATGCTGAAGCCATTTGGGTTCTGAAAGCTTTGAAAAGGCCGACTCGTCCATGAGCGAGGCAAAGGTGCTGCACTGGAAGGACAACTCAATGTTTCGCCTCAAGCCAACTTGTCTCAGAAGCAACAAAGAAGCCTTTGGAAGGTAAACTCCAAACCTGGTGGTATGGAAAAAAGGACATATTAAAAGCAACAAACCAACGTTATACTTACTAGTTGTCCGACATCATGTGTTCACAGCCGCTTTTTGTATGACTCGTTAGCCGAGCTTGAAGAAGAAAGACCAAATACCCAAATACTCCCTTGAAAGGAAAATGGTGGAGTGTTTGGTAACATACTACTGTGCCAAGACGCGCTATGCGGTTGGTAACGGCTCCGAAGGTCGTTAAATGAAAGACATTGCATCGAAGTGTGGTTGGGTCTGATGGCAAAGTCTCCATTCCTTCCTTTGACCACCTGGCAGGGTAGGCCAGCCAAATCTTTTCGCACAAGACCACTTTCCCCATGTCAGGAACACTCACGCATTGCCAAAACTGTGCCTGGAAGCTCTTGCATCCCAAAACGCACAGGTTGCATTTTCATCTTCAACGTCCACAAGCCTTCAGAACATGGCATCTAGATGGCATCGATTTGACAAAAAACTGCCGGGGCACCTCCATTGCATAAACCTTTTCTGGCGCCGGTCCCCAATACATTTTGCAAGGTTGCTGCGGCAACTTTTCATGTTTTTCTTTCAGGGGCACAGCAATTTGCAAAACGAAACGCACGACAAAGTCAGAGGCAAAGGCCTTGGGCTCAAACGCCTTACCCAAAGAGTGACAGGTTTTTGCTGTAAATTTGCATTCACAAATCTCCTGTCAGTTTGAGAAGCGCCACTCAACAAAATTTTGAGTGGAACTTGATCTTGGCGCAAAATGCAATCAAAAATACAGCGTCAAAAGGAGCAACTGCAAAATTTGCAACTAAAGTGTGACTTGACACGTGACCTGTGGCAGCTTTTTGAACTTGACCAACGTGCGCGTAACAGTGACCAACCCGAATCAAAATGCTGCAATCTCTCACAGGTTGACATGCAATGTCCACAAGAAGTTTTGCCCAAAATACCAGCTTCACCAGATATTGGAAGTTGGTCATGAATTTCTGCCACAATCGCCACGGCACTGTAACGTGATAGGCGTCATCAGGGTGACTTTTAGGCGTCTGCCCTCTTCATTCCAAAAGTTCACCTCGATGCGGTCTGATGTCCACACATGTGGGTCTTTAACGTGCAATGCGAACAAAAAATACAGAATGAAAGGGCATGCGTACATACATACATACATACATACATACATACATACATACGCACACACACACACATATATATATATGTACCTGAGAAGGGGGGGACGAAAGCCAGCTAGGCTAGGCTGTTCCAGCGTGGGTCCCTGTCTCCGTTCGAGTGCTCAATGCCCATTGTCCAAATAGTTTCCAAAGCCCTTCGTGATGCTAATGATGCACTACTCGGCGTCCATTACATCACTCGCATCACCAGACCCCGTTTTCATTGCTGTTCGGACCCTCGCTTTTGAGCGCTCTCCCCCACCAAGCTCTGGGTTCACCCTGCCTATCAAAAGTGACCCCTCAGCGACCACCCCGCCCACCAAAACCCCCTTAACTCACTTCGTTCGCACTAAAAGCTCAAGCCTTGCCTATCGACTGGCTTTCGTAATATATCTAAGATAAACATATATATGTCAAGATACAAACCCATACATGTGTTGGTAGCCCGGGCTACCCACAGCACAGTCCACGCGCTCCATTTCACGCTTGGGTTTGAGTGTCCCTGCCGCACGGTCGGATAAGAACCTCCAGAGCCCCAGCAGCTCTCAGGCGCTTGGCGGCCAGGAATCAATGCCGAGCGTTTTCCATTGAAGCCAGAAGCGCGCAAGTAGCTGACTTCAGTTGAGTCCGTATACACGAGGCGTGCGTGGAGGGTACGGTAACGTTTTGGGAGTGGACCTTCAATCACCCAGGTCAAGGTCTAAGTGGCCCAACAAGCACCAACGCCTTCGTTCTGGGAGCTGAGTCATCTTCACGCTTATAGCGCCCATCGCAAAGCTGCCCACGATGCGGTGGCTCATACGCTTCTCGGACATCGTCGGCCTCTGGGCCGATCGATGACTGCTCCGGCGGCATGCGTAGAAGCGACAGTGTTCCACTGGAGTGATTTGGCTTCATCACCTCGTTCAAGGGTTGCCTCCTGCAGGAATTTCTTTGGGTGCTTTCTTTTCGGCATAGAGGCCGCCGTCAGGACTTCTTGTGAGGTACCGTTCACGAATGTGGTTGCCAGCTTGTCGCTCAGATGAGGTGAGCGCCTCCGAAACAAACTCCACATGGTTGAGGCCTCGCCAGAGTGGACACGCAGGACTCGGCGGTGTCGGACGTTTCTCCGCCGGCTCTTCGCGGCGGTCTCCCACCCAAGCGTTCGTCTCAGGCAAAATGACGGAAAGATACGGAAAGTATTACTTTGCTCAGAACTGGCAACTTAGTGGCGCGCATGTCCCCACAATCTGTGGCCTCAGAACTGGCATCTTTGTAGCGCAAACAAAAGTAACGCGGAAAATGCGTGGAGCCGTGGGCTCAGAACTGGCAAGCTTGCAGTCACGTCAGTGAGAGATGGGCCCAGAGCAGAGCTCGCTGTAAACTCTATGCCGTTGGGGAAAGAAAAAGCGCCGACGTAAACGCTGCGCGGGATGACTGATGGTGTCATGTCTGTATGCTTGCGTTCAGGGTGCGACCAAATTACGGCCGTAATGCTGCTGCGCAATGCGGATCGGGGCGGATTGGATGGAAAGCGCCTTGTCTTTGTCTCATTGGAGAACGGGAAAATCCGCCTGCGCCGAAGGTGCCGAGGCGTTGTGGAGGCTTCGCGTAAACCGCAAGAACGCTGCTAGATTAATCCGCTTAATTAGCGTGCAGCGGGGATTGATATGATATCGTGGCTTCGGACCAAACGTTCGCGATGCCGGTTGCACCGTCCAGGGGAGACTGCATTATCGACATCGCGGGCGCTGAGGCCGTGACCGCGACAGCTGCTGCGCCTAGCACGGGGCAAGCGCAGAAACGTAGACATTTCGGCCGGCGCAGAAGCTCCCCTGTGTTCAGGACTTTTCTGTCTAGCTATGTTTCTTTGGTTTTGTGCAGGATTGGAGTGCTGAGGCCGACCGCGACAGCTCCCGCACCTAGCGCAGGGCAAGCGCAGAAACGTATACATTTTGGCCGACGCAGAAGCTCCACATGACGTCATTCAGTTTTGGCTGTGCGGAGCTGTTGTTGCGCCGAGGAGCCTTTCCGGACAAAAGTTGCACCTTTTTCAAGGCAAAGATAGAAATGTCTATAGGAAGAGAAATGCGTGGACTTCGTCGCGTGTTTCTGATTGCTTCGGCGCACACGGGAGATATATGCGGCGCGTCTGCAAGAACGAGGTTGGTGCGATGACACATGATGACACATTCCCACGCGCGCCGGCCGAACGACGGGCGCCATTTCTAGTTTTCCATTTACTGCAAAGCGGTCACCGCGTCCAGATACACTTGTTGCAGTGGAATCTCCGTGCGAAAGGCGCGCTGCGCATTCTCTGGAAATCAGGTAGGGTTCAAAGTTGTTGGTCAGAATAGGTGGTGCAAAACTAGTTCCATTGGTTTTCAACTCTGCTTTTGTGCGAGCTTCTCCTGGCGCCGTACTGCGTACCAATTGTGTCCAGAGCTGGTGCCCGAAGAGCGCCCTGGCAGTAAGCAGAGTGAATCGTGCGAGTTCATGGCTGCGGCACCTGCAGAGGATGACCTGTTGTTGAAAGGGATGCGCTTTCTCCAAGCGCATGCAACAGTTAAGCGTGCGTGAGCTCCTGTGTGTTGTCATCGATTCTCACACGAATTGTGTACACCGGCCTGTCACAGCAGAGCGAACATCAGAGGAGTTTCGTCCTTGACACCATAGAAGACTGTCAGATTGTCAACGCTCAAATAAGCCGCCCAAAACCGCTGGGTCATCTCACGCAACGGTCGATTTGCTAGTCTTCCGACCATCTCAACGTTCAAGCATGGCAAGGCCAATCTCCGGGATGCGACGTCTTCCCCCAGAACCATTCGTACCACTCATCCAGGCCTGAGCGCCTCTAGCACTTCGTCACGAAGATCCTCTACAAAAATGTACGCAATGTACGCTCGGTGTTTGCTCGAATGAGGGCTGTGTGCGCTAATGACTTTTCCAATGCGAAACCTCGCCAGGCCCTGTCGTTTTTCTGTCATCGAGTGCCCAAGCAAACCGCCACAGAATGCATGTGATGAAGCTGAGCCACGCTGGCCGTGTCACAAAGAAATACCCTTCCAAGATTCAATTGTTCCCAAACGCACAGGCGTGTCAAGGACTTAGAAAGGATCTAAGTCGGAGAAGCTGGGAGACCGATTTTTCTGGTCATCGAAATTGTACATCACGTGCGCAGGTGCCCTGATCGATACAGAAAGCAATGACAATTTGCTGGAGGTCAGTGCCTGGGAACCCTCGAAACCCAAAGAGTCGGAGGAGCTCTTTTGAGAGGTAGAAGACATCCGGCCTTTCTTGAAAACTGTGCGCGCTGAATAAAGTCCTGATGTCGCAGCCGTGCTTGGTGTGGGCAGGTAGCTGGGGCACTTAGCACCGCCATCCTGTTGCACTTGGTGTAACAACAGCAAGCCGCTAGATCCGTGAGATGTTGTTTGCTGATACTGCTGCGCTGTAGCTTAGCGAGTAGCAAGGAAGGTTGGTTATAGACCTGGTCATAGAGTTCCATCCCTGATAGTATACGCCTTCCAACATTTCAACGGTGTCTTGCAAGGGGATACGCCGGGACACTGCAAGAACCCTGTGTGAAAAGGCTGGTGATTAGATAGCTCCATAGCGACAAGTCAACGCTTCTTCAAGTTGCCACTTCCCACAAGGATAATACATCTTTACTTGTGACATGCTTTTCATCTCATCTCGTCCCATTCTAATTTTCTAATCACGCCTTTCGCTTTTCTCTCACCATCTCACACCTCTCGTCTCTTTCCTCTTTCATTGTGATGCAAGCATGCCTCGCACTATCACTCTACACCTAAGCTCTCTTGAGTTTGCGCGCTCACCGATACCAAGATAATATTGGCGCTTCATGGGCCCTACCTTAGGGGATGGCCGAGGTCCCCTCAGAAGTGATCATTTGGTTCACACCTCTTGATTTAACGAATTCAACGCTGGACAAGCGCAATATTTTTTTACATCGTAGACTAATTGGCAATGAAGCTGGGCTGCGGCTGGGGCTGAAAAGTCAATTCAATCAGGGGCCAAGAGGACTGGTTGTACGGGTTGGCCAACCGCTCAATCACCCAAGCGTTAATTTCTTTTCGTGTCCTTTCACGTTTTTCCCTCTTTGAACAACAACGCGCGAGCTTTTCAATACATGACGCGACATCTATTTTCTTGCGGTCGCCTACCTCTTCACCTCCTTTCAATCCTTTTCTTCACCACCCAGCTCAAAGTCAATGGGAAAAAATTCTTTCAAGTGGGCAGATATTATCCCCCTGCTGTCAGACCATGTTCTTCCTCATCTTTCAGCTTTGTTGAGGGCCCCTCCAACATCCTACGACAGCAATGTTGACAATTCGTTGACGGAAGCTAATTTGAGACTCTGTAGCCCCCCTCAACTGATTTCCACGGCTGGCACCATGGTATTTCAAATACGGTTCCAAGAAACGTGCCAAAATAACAAGCCATGATAATCATGATTCAGATGTTATTTCTAATGTTTGAACTACAAAGTAAACCAAAACAAACCCTACCTCGCCCCGGCTTGAAGTCAACAACTTCTTGGCCTTCAAGGCTGAAGGCGCTGATGGAAAGAGGGAGGCAGGGAGTCGGAGAGGTGTTGACACAGATTCAAGCTTTCAATTCCGGCAAACATTTAAAGGAGGGCATGGGCGGAACACTCGCGAGAAAGGAAGGGTGGGTATTTCGCAGCAGCAGCAGCAGCGGCGCCAGCGCGCCAGTAGATCAGCAAAAACGCCAGCAGAACTGCGGCAAAGCAGCAGCAGCGCCAGCAGCAGCAGCAGCAGCAGCATACAGGGGAGGATTTCGACAGAATTCATGACGCTCCAACGTATTCAGGCCATCAGGATGATGAATGCGCAGGCAATGAAGATATTCCAAACATGATCAGTGAGCATGGTTGCTCAGGTGATGAAAGTAGTGGGGGCGACAACGATGATGGAGATATGACCCCCGATGCCATTTTCTTCAAAGAAGAAGCTGGGTTCCGGTTTCGAGCATCTACTCTTGAACAGGACAAGTCACGCTGAGCAGCTTGGATCTGAGCTCAAAGTATGTCTCGCGGAGGCCCAGAGCCTCGTCACTCCTGCCAGTGTCTGAAGCATGTCTGAAGCACAACATACACCGACAGTTTTGCTTTGACTGACCACACCTTGGGTAGGAATTGGAGCAGTTCTGTGCGATCCTACATTACCATATGTTGCATTTGTTTCGTGATTCAATCGTAACATAAATAGCGCAATTGCGCAACAGTCGAGACTCTGTAATGTAGGTTTTGCGCCTGGTTCGCTGCGTATCTATCTGGAGAATAGTTTTACAAGGAGATGGTTCCGAATTGGTCTGGTCAATGAAATTCAATCTGTGCGTGATGGCATGCTGAGTACTGAATGCAATGGAACAGCGGCGTTTCCCCTTCCCAGCTCGAGGCAACCAACCAACGATCTCAAGCGTGCCACTTGATCGGCTGCCACATCAACGTCACATCGACGAGCCAACAATTTTTACTCAGGTTGCGCTGAATCAGAGCCCGCCTGAAGGCTGCGGAGAGCTCTTCATTGATGGTGGTGATGGACACGAGGACAGGTCCATCGATTTTAGCCTCTGATGTGACCTGCAAGATGTGTTTGGCAAAAGATAGAAAGCTCAATGAAGATTCAGACCAGGCTGCCCAACAACATATCCAACAAAACGCAGAGGCTGGGGAGGCCCGATGGCGCTGTGAGTAATTTATTGGTGCTGTGGGCCTGTAGGGGTGCGCGGTGCATGGTGAAACCAAACTCGCAGAGCCTTGCAGAAGAGGCCTCTCGAAGGAAGTCTCGCTAAAGGGAACCGCAGAAAGAGGTCTTGCAAAAGGCGGCTCCAGGCCCTAGACCCCCCCCTGCCCTGTATTTCTATTGTATTTGTTTTGCTTCTTACTTAACCCCTGTCAGGTCTCACATTCTGATGCTCAAGGAAATCAGACCGCTTGCTTCGCATGCTTTCGCGCCGTTCATATGAATTCGCATCGTCGCTTTGGGGCCTCGCTCTGAGACAGTGCTTTTTCCAACAAAACTCCACTGCTTGCACTTCCGTGTCAATTCGTGGAAGTGGGGCCTGCTCGCGATGTTGGAGGTGTAACAGCAGACAGGAAAGCTGAATGCCACACCCTAACTCAGGGTAGAGGCAAAAACCATACAGGTCTTGCAGGGTCCAAGACCAAAAGCTGCACAGGTAAACTTTGCAAACAAAGCGACGTTTACCTACACGAATCAGTTCATCTTGTGCATTACATAGTCAAAGAAAAGTGAAGGAAAAGTCCACGCCCGAAGGACAACTCTGCGCAATTGCTCCGCGTGAGCGAAGCAAAGCGAGCAAGGCAAAAGCATTGGGCAAAGACCACTGTATCCCGCATTGGCCGGCAGACAGTGCCTGAATCATCTGTCTTTGAAGTCAATGCCTCATTCGCTGATGCTATGGCCCATGAAGAAGTGGTCTTGAAGAGCCAAATGAATATGAATTCCTACTCCCGTGACAAGGTTACACCGAAGAAGAAGAAGAAGAAGCAGAAGCAGAAGAAGAAGAAGTAGAAGAAGACGAAGAACAACAAGAAGAAGAACAAGAAGAAGAAGAAGAAGAAGAAGAAGAACAAGAAGAAGAAGAAGAAGCAGGAGAAGCAGGAGAAGAACCGTACGCTGGGCGAACCAACAAGACCAACTGCAATGTACCAACTGGACAACAAAGATCGAAAATTGAAAATTACTTACGTGAGGAAAACAAGGTTGCCAAGTCCACGCAAGGACCACGCAAAGAGGCTTTTGGTCTTTTTACTGATGACCACCATCTTGCTGATGGGCCGAACAACACCTATAGGATTTTTCGACTTTGCCGAATTTGCTGACATCAAACATCAACAAAAGGGGGTTTGGCAAGACTCCCGTCGTTTTTGCCAGCTCCATTATGCCACGAGCCCACCGACCAGGGTACTGTACCTGGTACCCTGAGTACCTAGCAGGATCTATAGCAGGACGTTGCCGTCACCCATCATCTCAACTCCAAGCTCTGCAGGCGCAAAGGTATGAACAAAATTGCAGTATACTACTCCCGTTTTCTTCGTTGCTGTATTACACTGCACGTTGATCAGCTTACAGGCGACGGCGCCCTCTCTGTCAGTTCATGTTTCGACAAGCAGACTATGGTCGGTATGAGATGTGACTGGTCGGATTTTTCAGTAATGTATGTCCGCTTGTATCTTGCAAAGACCAACTCCTGCAAACGCTCGGAACAACTCGGAACAGTATGCCGCACGTTAGGGTCAACGCGTCTTTTTCACTGGGCTACGCCAGTGTCCACCGAATTTGAGATGAAGTGGCGTGAGTTGCAGCACGATTATAATGATTTTGAAGATGAACATTTCTACGCAAGATCCTTTGATTCTATTGCAGCGCCCGAAATGCCACTTGAGACCGCTTCTGTCGAACGCATCAAAAACGTGCCAAAGGAAGCGCCCCTGTTAAGATCAAATCTTTCAAACTGGCATTCAGTCCAGACTACGCACACGAATTCCAAAGCTTCATCAGCCACCGCAGAAAAGTGAAAAACACAAGATTGAGAAGTGAACGCGCAAGTTTAAGCTTGATGCTGTTAGGGCCTTCTACTACTCGCGCCTTTCATATGCCCTTCGTTCGGTTTCACGTAGCTTTGCTTGTAGTGTCTCACCTCTTTAGTGTCTCACTTTCCCACGTGTACGAAGGACTAAGACCTGTGATACAAGAGAGTAATATGCACAAGTCAAGTAAGAACAAGCACTTCTAAATACTTCCTCTTATATATATATATATAGTCGATCTTAGTTGTAAATGTATCGACCCAGGATGACCCAGGCATATTCATGAACAGGAACTAGGACAATCGCGTCTGTTTTGCTTTCTGTTGATTCCTACTTAACCGCTGTCAGGTCGCAGGCACATTCTATGTACATGACTGGCGCCTTTGGCTAAAGCTCTAGGAAACCGCCCGCTTGCTTTCCGCGCTTTCGCAGAGTCGCATCATCCCCTGGGGCCTCTCTCGGTTCTAAGGAAACTCCACTGCTTGCGGATCTTGCACTTCCGTGTCACCCCTCGGGTGCAAGCGAGTCTCCCAGAGGGATGTCTCGACGCAAAAGGGGTCTCCGAGAAGGTGGTCTCGAGTCTCGCAGAAGAAAGTCTCACAGAAGGTCTCGCAGAAGGATGCTTCGCAGAAGGGTGTTTGGCAGAAGGGGGTCTCGCAAAATGTGATCAAAAGGGTCTTCTAGAAGCGCAGAAGGGGATCTCGCGAGGGAGATCTGCATAAGAGGTCTTGCAGCTTCTCAAAGCTCCGCCGCTCCGACGTTTTCTCGCAGCTTCGCGGCTTATCTTGGCTTCGCAGCTCCAATCGTATTTTCTTGACCTTCTTTCCCGGCGCGCAATGACAAAAAGGCAAAATGGACTTTTTCAATTCTGCCAGTAGTGGACATCGATGGAAGATTATAGGAGCTCTCGTTTCTGCGACCTCCACTCCACCTATCGACTCTATCGATATCTATCGACCTTCAACCATCATGGTTTGAAGTTTGAACCTCTCTCATCCTCTCTCAACACAGCTTGGTTACGATGCTTCTAGCGGCCGTACCTCCTGCATCACTTCCCTACTGATCTCCACGATGCCCCCAATGGCAGGAATGGTGAAAGAGTCGGGCCACGCTTCCTGGGGCAGAAAGCTGGAAACCAGTAGCTTCTGCCCGTGTTTTGAACAATCTCGTTTTCGTCAATAGTTTATAGTTTATCTCTGTACCATATACTGATGGTGTACAAATGTTTCCGGTTTGTCCCAAAGGCTGCAGATTCCAAAAATAGATTCAACTGAAAGGGCTCGCACCCCTTCACACCGACAGTATCCCTGTACTATGACGAGCCAAGATTGACCGGGTATTGACCAGGTCGATCCTGACGCCGAAGAAGATCTATATACTGTAAAAATATCAAATCCACCGCATGCCTCACATGAAACCGTGCCAGGCGGCTGAGAAGGCTGCAGAGAAAGCTGCAAAGGTTGTTGGTCCCACCCGTGTTTCTTCCAGAAGAAAGGCAAGGGTGGATCCGTCATTTGAATTGGATAAGTTGGAGAGCACCTGCTGAACAACCTCAGACTCTGTTGCGTCCAGGTTTAACACGGCAAGTCGTGCTTGCTCTTGTCGTTGCTCTTCCATTTCTCGCAATTGCAGCCGAGTATAGCTTTCTGTTCCTAAATTGACTTTGCTGCTGGCTGCTGTGGAAAGAGTAGTTGCGTTGTTAGTTGTAGTACAGGTGGTGGTAATAGTGATAGTCGTGATGGATGTAGTGCTGGTGGTGGTGCTTGTGCTAGAAGTTGTACTTGCTGATATTCTGGTGCTGGCTGTGGCTGATACGGTGCTTGTGCCGGTTGTCATTGTGGCTGATATGGTACTGCTCATGCTAGTAATCACTGTGGCACTGCTTGTGCTGGTAGTCAGGCTAGATGACGTGAAAGTGCTTCTGCTTGACGTGGTAGTTGAGCTAAATGAGACGCTGGTACTGCTGCTGCTACTGCTTACGGTGGTGGTCGTGCTTGCTGTTTTGCTGGTTGTCTCGCTGGTTGTGGTGGTGACTGTCTTGGTGACGCTTGTTAAAGTGCTGGTGCTGGCGCTGCTGCTTGTGCTGCTTGTGCTAGTGCTGGATGAAGTGCTGCTGGAGCTTGTGGCCGTCGTGCTGGTGCTCGTACCTGTCAACAAACATGTGAGAACCATTCCACTGGCAGCAACTGTTACTCTTGGCCAGCACTTCAGAAAGAAAGCACTTCGTGTGGCTCATGTGACCTAAATCCCCTAATGGAGGGATATATTGAAAACGCAACATGCTTAAGCTGCTTGGTTCAAGACTCTTAAAGCCGGCATCACCCGTACGGAACTTTCAATATACCTGTGAAAACCCTATCAACGCTCGCCTTAACGGGCTTTTAAGCAGCCTTGCTCGGCTGATCCTTTTTTGTGACTTCAGCAGGATGGGCACTTGTCGATGAACTAGTCGTCGACGAACTAGTCGTCGACGAACTAGTCGTCGATGAACTCGTCGTGGTTGTAGTTGACACTTCTCTGCAATACACTTCATTTACGTAGCCTGAGCAAGGAACGGATTCGCCTGGCACCTTACGTTCCATACCATACGTTCTATATGCGGAGGAAACACGTACAGTACAGCTATAGATTTTGTGGGGTGTGCCTTTTGAAAGCCCAACCTACAACAGTGGGTACAATCAGTCAAAAGCACCGCAACTACACTATGCATTCTAGGAAGCTGTGCTGCTTCTTGCATCACACTTTTGTTGTCTATATACCTTTCTCGCTGGTTGAAGAGTCTCTCAATACAAACAAGATGTGTATATATACATTATATAATATATAATATATTATAGATAGGTAATGATAGGTACGTCATGGTACGTCTATTTACCTAAGATCAGCAGGACACCAGAAACATTTTGGATGTTAGCAGGCGTCGGGCGGCATAAAAAAACTTACACAATGTAAAGGCGACAAACAGTGTTGCAACATGTTGCAACCGATAAAGCTCATTCTATCATGCTCACGAGGTTCCTCTGCCCGTGTCTAAGCCACTACACCACATCACAAAAACGGCGTCCACATGATTTGCAATGCGGCGCATTGTGGCGCCCATGGTGCGGCACCGCACGGACGGCACGGACCTGCTGAGGCCGCTGCCGCTGTCGGTCTTTCCGCCGAATATCCACATCTTTCCATTTCCATCATATACTGCCGAATGAGCTCGCCGAACAAATGGGATGGTGCCACTTACCAAGGGAGTCGACCACGTTGGTGTGCCAGCCTGGCATGCTCCAACGGCTCTCCAGAATTGCCAGCATGATTAAACAACAAACACCGCCAGGATCTGCATTGTGCGATGTGTTGCTTTGGCGTGTCCACAACGGAGCACAATGGGCGCTGCACAAATGTTCACCTAATGATACAAATGATATAGCTTTTTACCCATGATTCAACATGTCTAGGCAGGGTAGGTTAAGTGGAGATGTCCCGGGCTTTGTGGGATTGCATTGCGAAATAGTCCGGGATTCCAAAACATGTTCATCCATTTGCTGCTTTTCTCATGTTATCTCTACAAAATCCTGCACCCAGGGGTCCCATAGCGTCCCATAGCCCTGTGAGCACCCGAAACCACACCACCGCTACCTTGGTGTCCAAGTAATGCAGCTCATTGAAACGACCTCAAAGAGGTGAACCGCGAAAAACCGGTCTCACTGTCTCATGAGCAGCCCAACACTTGCTTTTGCTTCCCACACCCTCTCGCAAAGTTGCAAACTGAGCTGAGCTCGCTGCTGCCATCGGTACCACCAAAGATCCACATCTTTCCACTCCAGTCCATCAGCGCTGTGAGTTGCTCCCGACCACTGGGGCTGGTGCCGCTCAGTGACGGTGTTGTCCACGTTGGTGTGGCAGCCTGACAGAGCTCAGAGATCCCCGGATATCACTTAGGTCTAAGTCTAAGTGAGCCAGCGATGCAAATGGACCGACAATAAGAATCCTTTCTCCTCAGTACTAGCAAAGCCTTGTTTGCGCCTGCGTGTCCAAGCAGTGGACATCATTGAGGTAGAGATCTCAGAGACATGCGAGGAATATATAAATATGGAATCAAATCTTTTGCAAACTCACTCCCAATGCTGAGCCTGCTGCTCCCAGGTCCCCAGCCACCAAATATCCACATCTTTCCATTGCCGTCCATGACGGCGACATGCCGGTTTCGGATTTCTGGACTGGTGCCACTCACTGACGGAGTCGTCCACGTGGGTGTGCCGGCCTGGACACAATGCAATGCCTCCAAATTTTGGCCAACAAACCACTACAGTACAGCATTGTTGATTCTTACTAGACTGAGGGTATGTTTCCAGCATCATGCAACGTGCAAACAAAATGAACAACTAACTGATGCAACGTCACACTCGGTGTGGTGTATTGGCCTGGGTGTCCAAGTAGTGCACGTCATTCAAGTAGCCACCTGAGTTGCTGAGCTGTACTCTTATTTGTGAAGCATCACACGCACCAAGTCAGCGAACACACAACGAGCAAATACCGAGGCTCTTACTGCTGTCAATGCCAGCAAATATCCACATCTTTCCACTGGCATCCATCACCCCTGTGTGGCGATAGCGCGCGGTGGGGTTGGTGCCAGCCACCGATGGGGTCGTCCATGTTGGTGTGGCCGCCTGGGGCTCTGTGCGTGGTGTTCTGGTCATGCTGCACAAACCCCAGTACGGTCCTGTACTGTACGGCCATGTACTGTAAGGGAAAAGCATTGACACGTTGTAGAAACAATCAATAACTTTCAGGGTTGACGAGTGATAGCAATAGGGAGTCGGAAACAAAAAACACAGGATCCTACGAACAAGCGGACTCATAGATACTTTAAAGAAGCGTTTGATTGAGTCTGAGTGAAACACATAAAAATGATTCTCTTGACTCTTGACAACATATTCTTGACTCTTGACAACATATGTCATATATATATATGGTTTGCACACTTACAACTGTTTGGAGCAGCCTTTAAATTCACAATCAATGTCGGTTCAATTCAATCAGTTGCAGATCATCAATGAGATGTTATGACAGTTTTTGGGTGCAAAAGTCACCAACCAACAAACAATGTTGTTCCGACATGTCTTTTTTGGTAGGTGTGTGTGTTAACCAACAGCTTGCAGTGAAAACAACAATTAGTCACCTCCGCGTCCACACGAAGGAGTTGGTGCTTTTTTTCCTCAAATGGGCGCTTGGGCCAAAGGTGATTTGGCGGTCGGCGTAGCTGTACATGCCACACAGTTGCCTAGACATACTACGCGTTCCTGCTGGACTTCCATTTGGTATTTCTCCTGTAAGGTTGTTTTTGAATCTTCCCTTGCGCAAACAAATACAAAGGTAGTGATAGTGCATGGTGCAGGTTATGAAGGTTTGCCGTAAGCGGGCTTTACATTACATGCAAGTATTTTCAGCACTTTTGGCACTGTGCAAAAGAAAACTGATTGCGCGAATAATTGAATTGGCCATGCTCAGAAATACACTCACTAGATCTTCGTCAGGAGGTAGTCCCAAAATGAGCGTCTGTGGTGGTTCGGAGAACTCACCCCGCTATGGTCCAATGGCTTCAACTATCGGTTTCGTCTATACCGATGTGGCATAATGGAGTCCGGCTGCGCGTGGGAATGGTAAGATGTCCGGTGGACAATCTACCCTTTGGATCATCTACCATTGTCTTCCATACCATCCTGAACCATATTCTGAACGCCACTTTTGTCGGTCATCTTCTTGGTTTTGACGCGGTCGTGGTTTTGCTTTTGGCGTCTCGCTCTTTCCATGTGGCGCGTTGCTTTCACCCTCCGCGTTGGCTGCCAGGACAATGATGATGATGCGTGTGGATCAGATCTGGAGGAAAGTTCCGGCGCAGCTGGCCTTGCTCTCGGTACATCTTCTTCCAATACTGATTCAAGCCAACTCCTTTTGGATGCTTCTCTGCATTCCTGGTGTACCGTAACTGTAGTTCTGAATCATCCTTTGCAAGTGGTCAGTGGTCAGATTTTTGTCCCACCTGTCAAACGCCTTTGGATCGAGTATTCTTCGCGATCTTCTTCGTGAATTCACTGGCTGTAGTATAGGAGGTAGTTGAACACCCTTCTGCGTATAGACCAACAAACTCAACAATCCCAAGGGTTCTTTGCTCTGGAATGCAGAACGTCCATGGATCCAAGTGTGTTTGCGTCCTTCACGATTCCTCAGGCCATAGCAGAAATACGCGTAGGTGTTGACATTGTAGACAGTCTAGACGCATTTTCGGATCAGTTCGAACATCTTTCTGGCCTTGTTTGTCCTCTCAGCTTCAGTCAACATTCTTTTGTCATCGCGAAGCTATTTCCCGTGCAGCCCAATGTGCAAACATTTGGAGAGCAAAACTGACAAGAAGTTTCTCACTGTGGAACCTGCGCCAAGCCTCTTCTATCGTGACCTTGCGTTTTGCGTTGAAGACTTCCATCTGATCATCGGTAGGGTCCATGACCTCCCCCTTGTCATGGAGGAAGCGCGGTAGACCTGGTGAAAAGTCGCCTCTTCTTGAACTCGGAAACTCTTGCTTGGTGATCGGCACGATATTCTGGCAAACACATCTGATCAGATACCTATCCATCAATGTAGAGAGTCCTCGTCCCACATCTTCGCAGGCTGACATCTCAGCTTGATCGATGGGAATGGCTTCTGGTAGCTGATACCACTTTGGCAAACCAACATTGTCCTTCCAATTATCGGGATCAAAAGATTTGGGACCTTGGCTGGGGTACCAGTCTTCTTCGTCCTCTCACCGACGACCTTTCTTCTGACTTTGCAGCTCTTGGTCCGGCCTTCAGTTGCATCGTCTTTTCTTGATTGCTTCAAGGTTGTCCATGACAGCCACATCCTTCTCATCTTCTGAACACCTGTCGTAGCCGGCTTCTTCTGGAATATAGGAGCCAGCAATGATGGGCGACTTGCGGCTGTCTGTCTTTGATGGCAGCGGCTGAGCCAAGACGGGCGCCGAGTTGTAAAGCAAGATCCCTGAGGGAATAGGCTCACTGCTCGCAATCAACCATGCGCGGGCACCAATTTGCCTAATCGGCTGGATCGATCTTCCATTTGCAGGTCAAAGCACATTGCATCAGCATGTCCTTGGATGCGCCAAAAGGCAGTGGTTGGAGTTTGATCCATTCTGCTCCTCGCAGGTCTGGTGGAACCTCCTTGGTGGGGTGAACGACCTTCCAAGTTGCTGCAAAGTCCTCGCGTTTAAAGCGGAGACCCATGCCATCACGCCCCTTAACCAGTCCCAGGCAGCCTGAAGTGTTCTTGGAGAGAGAAGTCAAGCGAGGAAGATCACCCTCAGCCCAAATGATTCGGAAATGAGGATCCTCGCGACCATTGGTGCACTTGAGAGTGCAGAAGATACGTTTGAAACCACTCACCTGAAGCAGGGCCAGCAAGTGATCCTGTTGCACTTCCATGAATCTGAACTGATGTTGCTTGAGCATCCTGCGCTACTTCCTTGGACTTGACCGCAAATGGTTCACAATTGCCATCGTCATCATTCCAGAAATCATCATGAACATACGCGAGACCGACGACTTGATCACCTACGTCAGTTGGTGCTTTCATCTTGCCGTGTGCCGGCGCTGGCGCTGTGAGCTGCAGGTTGCTGGTGCTGGCGCTGGGTGCCGGCAGCGGCCGAGAATGAGATGATCATTGATGCCCTTGACCAACAAACGCTTCCACTCCCCATATTTGGGATCTTTGTAACAGGCCCCTCTCACATAGCCCCTGGTACTGGGTCGAAGATGATGGTACATGAGTTCTCGCAAAGCGGTGCTCAACAACGTGACCATAGACGAGCACTACTTGAATCCTTGACCTCAATATGATCTCTGATCTCCTGTTCCACGAAGCGTGCTGGTTGAAGAAAGAACTGTTCCTCACTTGATCGGTCCCGCCTGGCAATATTCCCGACTTCATAATGGACATCATCCGGTGGATAGACGTTATATGGGAGCTGCCGCCAAAGTTCATCGCAAATGTCCGTCACGACGTGTGAGGCGGGCGTGTGTCGAATAGAGCATCACACTGTCCTCATTGTCTGTTGCGTTCACCGTAATGCGTTCACCTGTATGGTGGGACGCTGCTGCTCGTACTGCTACTGGGCACAACCGTCTTTGAGGTTTTGGCTTCTTGATGCAGTTGCGACCGATGCCTCGTGTTTCCCAATAGTTCAACTCGTCGTCTTCATGGTCTACATTATCCCTTGGAAGTCGCGCAGCCGCGATCGGAAATCTTGCGCGATTCTGAAGACGCTTCGAAAACCACATGCATTTTGCAGATCGTGAGGAATCTGTGAGCTCTCAGCTCATTCACTCGACCTGATTTCTTTGCGTGATTGCAATCAGAAATTGCGTTTCGATCTTCAACAGAATATTTTCTCTCCGGAGTTCCCTGAGCACTGTCGCATTGTCAGCAATGATCCGTTCTAGGACCTTTACCTTCTTGTGAAGTTCTGAGTCACTCTGGACCACCAAAACCTGGTGTTCCTCTGACGTTACTCATCTTCGATTGAGTGTTGGCTTCGATTAGTGCGGCGTTGGCTCTTTTGATTCGGCCCCTTTCCCGTTCTGCTATACTCGAATATCTCTTACAGCAGTTTCCATCTTGTCCATAGCCTCTTTCACTATCTTAGTCTCAAAGTGTAGACGTGGACCCTTCATCTTTTCTGCGGCTCATTCCATCGGGTATGCCTGTGATTCCGCATGAACCTCAGAGTCACAGTAGCCCAATTCAGTGTAGGCATTGTGTTCAAAACCCTTGAGTGATGCGACTTGTCCTCTGTCCTTTGAGGTGTTCAACGACAAGTTGTTCATGGTTACAACTCCCGTTTGCCTGTGACACCTCGTCCATGAGTTGCAACTGATAGTGTTCGCAGTTCAACAGTCTCTCTCTCTCTCTCTCTCGCGTGGAGTCACTTCTGGTATGTTCGTGTTCTCATCTTGGAGTGCTAGCATTCTTGCCTGTAGCTGGTCAGCGACATTCCTCATGGCGATGTTTTCACTGAGTGCATGAATACTCATTGTCGAGGCACTCTGCGATTGTTGATGAATCTGCCCTCATGCCTCTTGCAGTTCACCAGACATATCCTCAATCTTTTGGTTCGTGTGGAATTCTGAAAGTTCTTCGACGCTTTCTTGAGCAAGTTCTTTGTCTGCAAGTCGCAGTTTGTGTTCGAGTTCTTGTATCCTAATCGTTGCGCCTTCGGCTTCTTGAATCATCTCGCGCAGTCGAAACTCTATGGTCCTTCCATTTCTGATACATGTGTGAATTCTTCCCTAGATCTCTGATACAGGCCTGTGTATCCAGATTGCAAATGAGAATGCTTCGTGCAAGAATTCGTATGCCCCACTGGATGGTCGTAGTTCTTCCAATAACTCCATCTCTTTTCTGTCGTCTCTAAGGTTAGGGCTGCCACTGATCTTCCTTGTTCTCTCAATACTCTTCTTCGGAGATCGAGCGTGGAGTATCCTTGGCGAGGCAGACCTGCCAAAGGTTTGAAGAAATGTTTTGAGTTCTCTGGCTCGCGACGTAGCACCTTCCGGTGGCATGGTGCTACCTTCTCTTGATCCCATGGAACCGTCGTCAGCTGAGCTTACACCGTTCATTCCGGAATCAGGAGATGATCGTGACATGTTTCCTCCAGGCGCGGCAAAGGAATAGGGTTCACTTCCACCTTCTCCGGAACTGGACCTATTTGGTCACAATAGATGTTGGTCTCTCAATGGCTCGTAAGGCTGCGTTTGGGTGTTGACCAACAGCTTGCAATTATAGGACTGGATAACCCCACATGTTAACAACTTCGCCAGACACAGGAGTCGTTGGTGGCGGTTGGTGGAGAACTGCAGGAGAGCAAGCCGGAGAATGCTGGTGTCATGCATGTGCTGCAAACTGCTCTGAATATCGGTTGGCAGAGAACCTGGCTTCCAGAGGCGGTGCTCAATGGCTGCGTGACGGGCCTGCGTCGGCGCTTGGACTCTGGCAGCCATCCGGTGGGTACCAGCAGCTTCGGGACAACTTTGCTCCCATCAGTGGGTTGAAAATTTTGGGAAACAGCTGTTGGCTGAAGACGTGCGTCCAACCCCTTGGAGAGCACCAAGAACCGCCCCCGCCACGCAAAAGCCACGGAGACCACAGGACGCTCCAACCCCTTCCGGAGAACCAAGCCTACACGCAAAAGCCACGGGGACCACTGGACGGCAGGGCGTACATCCGTCCCCTTCCAGAGCATCAAGTCCTGCGCCTGCCGCAAAAGCCCCACAGCCCACAGGACCACGAACAACATCCGACTGCTTGTAGAGCACCAAGTCCTGCGCGCGCCATGCAAAAGCCACGGAGACCACAGGACGCCAGGGCGTACATCCGACCCCTTGCGAAGCACCAAGTCCTGCGCCTGCCGCGCAAAAGCCACGGGGACCACAGGACGCGTGGGCGTAGCGCCTGCCATGCAAAAGCCACGGAGACCAGTGACCACAGGGCGTACATCCGACCCCTTGCGAAGCACCAAGTCCTGCGCCTGTGCAAAAGCCACGAAGACCACAGGACGCCAGCGCGTACATCCGACCCCTTGCAGAGCACCAAAATGGGCCCTACCATCTGGGTCTCAGTGGATGGGTTTAACTTTTTTCTCATGTTGGTACCTGGCCAAAAATTAATCCATATGTGAACACCTGTCAGGAATAATAAGTTACAGCCATGTCTGCCTTGCAGCCTATAGGTGATCTTGATCTTACACGCGTTCCAAAACACAAGTTCAGCTTGACTACAATGATCTTCTGCATTTTGATTCCTCTTCGTTTCCGGTCGCATCAAGTGATTCAACAGGCGGCAAAACGGCTGAACTTTTCAGATCAGCAATCCCAGCCCGGACTTCGGAACTATTAGATCACGGGTTAGCCATAAGCACCCAGCCAAATCTTGACCCAAGACCCCTGACCTGACAGTTTCTTATTCCATTATTCCCTGGTCTGGGGTCTGCTCCCAAGTTTGGTGAGACCAGTTCTGGAATTTAGTGCCGAATTTGGCATCGCTTCTTTGCTTACTGTTTCAGAGGAAGGCCCAAGGACTGAAATATTTCCAGGGGTGGGAATAGTTTAGCAGCTAGCAGTCTACAGAGCAGAGGCCTACAACACGAGGCAACCTTGCCCTTTCGGGGCACAGATCTTGCAGCTTCCACAAATCTACAGCTTCAGGGTCCACAAGAAAGATTTGGCTGCGGCGCCTATGACCTGGTAGCCCTGATCTGGCAGTTCCTTAGTCAAGGTCTGGGGTCCACTCCCAAGTTTGGTTTCTGGGTCCAGCTTCTGGCGTGGGCCCGCCGTCCAGAAAGTCACAGGCTTTGACACCAGATTTAAGTCCAGGGTGGCTTTGATGTGATCCCTACGCAATGGGGAGCATTTGGCCTGAGATGGCCCGAGCCACGTTCTTCATAGATCCACAACTGACAGCTCTCTTTTCTGGCAAGAGAGGTTGAAGGTTTACAGAACGAAAGGCGTCATAGGGATCCTTGTGACACCGTTCTTGTTCCCCCATGATTGTCATGCTTTGAAAGTCGATTCCGACTAAGTTATTCCCGGGTACCATCCACCCACCTCGACTTCAAGGTGTTACCAAAACTATTCTTGCAAAATAATTCCTGGAAACTATTCCTCGGGGTGACCTCTACCCTGGAATAATTTATGACGGGAGGGCCCATGCACCAAGTCCTGCGCCTGCCACGCAAAAGCCACGGAGACCACGGGACGCCAGGGCGTACATGTGACCCCTTGCAGAGCACCAAGTCCTGCGCCTACCACGCAATCCCTTTGTCACTTCCCCACTTCGCAAAATGATTTTCAGACTGGTCTTCCTCCTTGTCTCGCCGCTGGCAACCTGTCGCAATTTCCTCACTTGTCTCCTTTCTTGTTTTTCACTGGCAACCTGTCGCGATGTGATTACAGTGGGTTGGATTCCCAGATTTCTTCTCAGTGAAGCCATGTTCGCCCAATGATCGTGATAGCATGCGCTCGGTGGCTCGGTGAACCTTCGTGCCTTGATGCTTCTGAAAACGACATGTTTCGGAAAACCCACGTTGGCATTGCTCGAAGTGCGCAAATTGTTTTCTGACGTTGGACAAACCAAGGCTGACTTTGGAAATGCAACGTCGTGTTTCTGAAAGCACGCCGTTGTGTTAGTTATTAGTGAAAATGCACAGAGGCATGTGTCAAAAAACATAAATGAATTCCGATGAATTTCTGCAACATGCAATGTCATGCCTTTGTAAGGACTGATTTATGCCCGTGGAAAGACCGCTCAAAATGCACACGTGCATTTCTGACAGCCCGCGACGGGATGCTTTTTAAATGCAGGGTTGCGTCGGGCCACGTCAGGGTTGCGTCGGGCCACGTCATGTTTGTGAGAACCTACACAGTTATTGGTGCAATGATATGCTCCTGACAAGCCAGAGTTGTGGCTTTGGAAGTGAAATGCCGCGCTGTATGTGGGAAAATACGCAACTTTAAGACAACACGTGTTTCCGAGGAGGCTTATCAGCGCGGTTCAACATGCAAAGTAATGTTTTTGAACCACATGCTTGCATTTGTCCAAATACACAGATGTACTCCTGAAAAAAGGCAACCAGTTTGCTCTTGAAAAAGTAGAGCGTGATAAAGCCCTTCTTTTGTCTTTGTGTATGCCATGGCGAGTGAAAGCAAACCAACTGAACAAGTACTGTTTGGCGGTTTGGGGTAAATGCCGGTGTAATTGGAGTTGGAACTGTTGAATGAGCACCCTTTGAATTTGCTTCAGGTGTACAACTCAACCTGGAGCACGAAACCACTGCAAACCAACTGCCCCATTGCGTATAATCTCCAACGCGTGGTGCGTGAACGCCTGCGACAAACCATTTGAACTATCAATTGGCGCGCCTGTGTGTCCAAATAATGCACATCGTTGAGAAAACCTGAGGCAATGTTGCCCCCCACCGGTTCGCACAGAGATTTTTCCGATCGCAGGATTGCTGAGTCTACAGCTGCTGCCATCGTCACCGCCAAATATCCAGATCTTTTGGCTGGCGTCCATCACTGCTGAGAGTGCGTCCCGGGTGGAAGGGCTGGAGCCACTTAAAGATGGAGTCGTCCATGCTGCAGGCGCCGACTGACAAATGGAAAACAATGCTTAAGAGTTGGGCGGGCGGCGGGTGTCTTCCACTCTATCCCCTTACGCAAATGAGTCGGAATGATCGATCAGCCAAATTTATGATAGCTCATAACGCAAACATTGACCTAACCTTTCTGCGGCTGTTGACCTGAAGTGACCAAATGTGACAAGGATTACAGGAGGTCAACAGAATTACCGAACGTAGTGGAGCTCATAATCCAAACAATGTGGCCACATGACTTGCGCAAATACCAATGCGCAGTGGCCTTTGTGTCCAAGTAGTGGACATCATTGAGGCGACCTTAGACAAAATCCTGTGCAGTCTATGTAGGTTTTTGCGCGCGGGCTGACATTCACTCCCAACGTTTGCTGAGCCTCCTGCTGGAACCATCCCAGCCAGCGAATATCCACATCCGTCCGCTTGCGTCCATGACAGCTGTGTGTTCAGAGCGGCCAATTGGGCTGGCGCTGCTTACTGCTGGAGTCTTCCACGTTGTACTTTCTGCCTTTCCAACAGGCGACTTCAGGCTTCAAACATATATCTGCTTGTGCGATCTTACGTGCCCTCTGCGTCTGATGCGATGGTCATGACCAAAATAGCCAGGCCTCCGCCACCAAGTAATACACACCATTGCTGTAGCCTCAAACGCGCAGTTCTTGCAACAAACAAATCAATCGACGCGTGGACACCATTAATTTGTTTTGAAGGGTCGAGTGCGATGTCTCCGTCGCTAGTTCTTTGGATCAAAGTGCATGATATTTTCAATGCGTCCAGCATTTAGCAAGGCACTGCGGATAGAACCGAATAGCATTGATTCCATATCAAACTCACATGCCTTTCTGTCATGTAGACTGGTGAGTTGGCAATCGTTCGAACGCAGGGGCCCACTTTTATGCAGTTCTTTTTTGGAATTTTAAAGCATCTATGAACAGAATGGATTATGGATATACATATACTAATACACATACTGAAACATTGAAACATCAAGGGCACGCTCTCTAGTTACATCATCTGTTACATCCACGTTCATGTGAGTTTTCCAGGGCCGGGGCCTTACAAATCAACAGACGATTGATCACAATATGCGCAATACACCACACTCAAACAAGAACTCCCAAGGTTGTCGCCATATGGGGCTAAGTGTGCTGCAAGTCCGCATGATATTTTTGCTGCTTGTTGTCAAGGTTCCATCTCGGATCGATGAAGCAGGACTATCGGCTTGAAATACCCCCTTGCTGCAGCCGCAGCTGATGCTGATGCCACTGTTGAACAGAGCGTTGAAAAGAGCAAACTTTACGTTAGCGGCCGATGCTGGTCATACATGAGACGTGAGGGGGGCGAAAACCAGCCCTCGCAAACGCTTAGCTTAGGGCAACTTGTTTCGCTCAAGAGGCTCCAGCAAGCGATGCGAGTCTCCAACACTCCCGCACAGATCCCCCTGACAATTTTCACTTCGTTTGCAAGATTCATTTTGTTGCTTTGTCCAATGTCCTATCGCTAGAACGGTTTTTTTCGGAAGTGCCCTCTTTCGGCCCGAGACAGCCTCCAAGCAAAGCGCACAAGGGCAGCAACAAAAACACCTCCTCAAGGTTCTTTCTGGGAGAACTTGGCTCTATAGAACCCGGAACCCCTTTGCGCAAGGCGTCCTTTGTCGCTGCGAGCGCAGAAGGGCGCCAGCCCATTCGTCAGCTCTCTCCATCTAGATCTGTAAGCCACACCGCCTTCCCATACCTGTATCGACAATTCATCTCAAACAGCGCTCACCAGCTTCATTGCAAGTGAGCGTCAATTTTTTATCCTTTTTTACCCCGAGACGGCCTTCAAAGAAAGCGCAAGGGCACCAACAAAAGCTCCTCCTAAAGGCTTTTTCTGGCGCTAGAACACACTTTTTCACGTGCGCCCTTTTGACGGAGGGGGCCCTCCGACACAACGCGCCAACCCAAAAGTGCGGCCTAAAGGCTTTTCTTCGACTCTTTGCGTTTGGGTCTGTCTGTCCTTTCACGCGTGGTTCGACTTCAGGCATGGCCCGACTCGACGAACTAAGACAAAAACATTGTAAACAACAACGCGCTATTTAGAGGAACCAATTTGCCAAAGCGCTCCAAAAGATGCCGTCATGCCCAGTTGATGATGCGAAAAATGCTAGCGGGACCCGTTGCAGCATCACTTGCGTCACAAGAGAGCCCTCAAATAGCGACATGGTGTAAACCAAGGTTCTTTTTCGTTCTTCCCCAGCAGTCTCTGGGTTCACCCTTCCAAAGCCTATGTGAAAGTGCGCCCATTTATGTTGTCCAAATGCATTTTTCTACGCGTGCGAAAGCGCGTCAGCTCAGCGCAATCCCAAACAGCATCAGAATGTACACATGGAAAGAACTCGGCCTAAACAATCCATAACAACTGGAAAATGCACATTCAACCTGTTCTTGGAATCGTTCCAGGATAAGCTGTACATCAGTACGCACTAGACAGGAATTTCTACAGCTGCTGGGCGGTCACGAGTGCTCTTGGCAGAGTGGCAAATGCAATATGCGTGAAACTTACTTCTCTGCAAATCATCGTTCTGCGTTCTTCTTGCGGTTCTTGTCCTCGTCAACTTGATACACGCGTGAGCAAGTCGCGCTCAGCAACAAAAGGGGCGTCGCACTCTCCGTGAGCGCGTCGCTGATCATGGTGTGCGTTGACATCCAGTGGAGCTTCTCCAGCTTCTCCTCCTTGAGGGAAGATGTGCCATGTGCGCCCCGTGCTTCCCATAGGCCTTGATGGATTGACTTCAGCTGTTTTCAGATGATCGCATAGTGATCGGCGATCGGGAAACTGCAAGTAAGGGTGGAACTCGAAATCTCATGATGGGTTCCCAGCCCCTTCGACAGCGCAGAAGGGCGCGGATCTTGTCCGCTTTCAATTCCGGATTGCAACAAAAATGTCTCTGCCTGTAGCGTGGACCTGCGTGCACGTTGGTCGTTGACTCGCTGACGAAAAGCCTAGCAGCAACGTGCCATAAATGTATGCGCTTTCATCATGTGTTCAAAGGGTTTTAGCGAAACCTGAATACTACATCTTTGAGAGGACGGTGGGCCTAACTGTGTCTCCATTGAGGGCGCTTGGCAAGTAGCTCATACGACAGGCGAAATCTGGACGGCCCGCCTAGAAACCCAAGCTGGTGAACCTACCGCTGAACAAAGTTTAGTGATATCATCAGGTTTGAAGAATTTTTCTGCCAGCTTCCTGCCACTATACCGACCTTAATGCGACGAATGGCCCTTGATGAATCTCAAACACAATCTTCTTCAGCAAAATTCAGCAAATGCCTTTCCGCAGTACCTATAGGATTGCTCTCCTCCCGAGATACCACATCACATCCACCCAAGAGAATCCATGATTCCTTGGCCTCTGGGAGGTAGCTCTAAAGCAAAATCACCCACATGCATAGTCAACAGTGCCATGCGTCGTCCGGTATCTTCCAGCTTACAAAAGCAAGCTGGATATATGACGCTTGCTGTCAACCCGCCCTTCGAGAAACTCTGCCCACTGTCAAGACTGCAATTTGCTTCCCCACGCTGTGATGGTCGTGTGAAGATCACCGTCACCTGTCGGGCTATCTGACCTGATTTCCTCAGTCTGCTCAACATTGCCGAGCGGCACCCATCGGCTCTTCCACTTTCTCGCTTCTGAAACATACATCTATACAAAGCTATGGCATGTACATGTAACTGGTGCTACATCTGATCACGCCTCCCGAGTTTAACGTCTCTCAGAAGTTAAGCGAGTCAGGATTAGCACGCTTCACTCATGTGCTGAACTAATTAGCTCGTAACCCTTCAGTACCTCTTCAAGACCAAGATGTACCTACTCTAGCTCAAGCCGTTCACGCTCTCAAAGTCAGCTCATGCTCACCTTCCAAGTAGTGGAAGTTCTTGCCTTTCATAGCTGTAGTCATTTTCTCTTCGGTGACAGCTTTCGTTAGCACGTCGGCCAACATTCGGTCGGTGCCTTCCTTCTTGAGACGAAATTCTTTCTTTGCTGTACGCTCTTGTACCCAGTGGTACTGAGTGTCAACATGTTTGGCTCGTCCCAAACCTCGACGGTTTTTCATGGCGATGTTAGCGGAAGCGTCCATTGTCACCCCTTTGCTGGGAAACAAGCCCCAGTCTCTTGCAGTTGATGCGACTCCAAGCATCTGACATGCTCCTGAAACAAGTCCGTAGTACTCGGATTCGCCACTGCTGAGGGCGACAACTCCTTGACCTTTGCTGTATGTGTGAGACAGCATTTGTTGGCTATGAGCACGCCTCCTGACACACTCTTTCGTGTCCTTATGCAACCTGCATGGTCGGCATCTGACCACATGTTGAAGGGGTTGCAGGCGCTTTGATTTGGAAACAACTGTGCAACTCTTGGTCGATACCTGACATATCTGGCCAATCGTTTCAGCATATTCCAGTGCCTCGATGTTGGACTCTGTAGACCTTGTGCCAACGAGCGCGTTGCAGTTTGCAGATCAGGTCGATCTTGTGCCAAATACGCGGCTCTCACAGCAATAGATCTATACATCGTTGCATCTTCGGCACTCAGTGGAACTTTTTCTTTATCAGTTGCTCTTGACTTGGCTTGGCCAAAGGTGTCTTGACCTTGCCTGGTTGACCAGCGCCTAACCACTTAATGATCAACTCTGCATGTCTTGGATCTGGTTCCCACCAAATGCCTTCATTTGACCAAGTGATGATGCGGTTCAACACTCTGATCTGTTGGCTTGCTTTTGGTGATCCAGGTGGCCAAGAATGCCTCGTTCCACAACTTGCCATTCTTTGGCTGCTGAAGCGCGAAACCATTTGATATCTTCAAAAACTTCCAACTGTCGTGAAATCATCTCCATGCGCTTCTGTTCGAAGTTCTCTGGATGCATGGTAGTAAATACATGGATTGGACGTCCCTTGTAAAAATCCTAGCTTCTTCGTGAACTCTGCGATGGTCAGCTCCCAGTTCATGGGCGCGTCTCTGGTGCCATACAGGCTTCTGACCAATCTGCCTACCACATCTCCATCTTCTGGCTTCTTGCCTTCAGATGGAATCTCAACATAGAGTTCTCTTGTTGCCTAGGAGTAGAAATGAGCTCTCTTCACATCTAAAAATCCTAGAAAAGATAGCTTTGTCTTTCTTTTCTCGCCTTTCTCCAATGGAAGGCTGTCGCTGACTGCAATGGTTAGCAGTAGCTTCAAAGCTGCTAGGCTCGGCATGGCTGCGAAAAATTCGTCGAAACCTGAGCCTCTTTTGATTTCTTGCGCCACCAATCGACTTCTGTAGAGAGGATTGGTTTCATCTTGCTTGTTCACATCTACCCATCGAGTTCCAATGGTTTTGGTTCCTTTTGGAACTTTGCTTCTTGGGATCTTTTCCCAAACTCCCATTGATTCGACAATGTCGATCTCATCTTTCCTGGCTTTCTCTACCTTCTCAGGTAGAAGCTCTTTTCCACTGATGTCATCATTGTACCACCAGTCTTTTGCCTCTTCTGCCATTTCTTCTGGCAGTGGGATCTTCTCTTCACATACTGGTTTCTCTGGGTCGATGCTGGACAGCACTCTCTCTCTCTCTCTCTCTATCTTCTAGGATTGGGCTTTCTAGAGCCATCTCGATGCTCTG